CACTAGGAATCACTATGAATCACTATTAACCACTAGGAATCACTATTAACCACTATGAATCACTATTAACCACTAGGAATCACTATTAACCACTAGGAATCACTATTAACCACTAGGAATCACTATTAACCACTAGGAATCACTATTAACCACTAGGAATCACTATTAACCACTAGGAATCACTATGAATCACTATTAACCACTAGGAATCACTATTAACCACTATGAATCACTATTAACCACTAGGAATCACTATTAACCACTAGGAATCACTATTAACCACTAGGAATCACTATTAACCACTAGGAATCACTATGAACCACTATGAATCACTATTAACCACTAGGAATCACTATTAACCACTAGGAATCACTATTAACCACTAGGAATCACTATTAACCACTAGGAATCACTATTAACCACTAGGAATCACTATTAACCACTAGGAATCACTATAGTCAACCACCAACTTGCGCAGCAATTTTGATCGTCCCTGTGGGACGATGGACTGAGTCAACGGTCCCAAGGCACTGAGCAAACCTTGGCTGCGCAACTGGCGGCGACTGAGGCGCGGTTGGATTTTTCGGATTTTTTAAGAGGAAAAATCCTGGGGATGTTTTCAAAGATGCTGGGGATGTATGGGATAAGACCATCATTCGGATTTTCATGGGAATGTATTTGGAAATTCAGGAATCTCACCTGACGATTTTAGACCACATCAAGAAGAAACAACATGGGTAGAAGGCGCATAATTGCCGGAAACGGCCTTCAATGATTGCAAGCACGTCCATGTTTACCTGATGGTTTCCTGTGGCTTCTTTCAACCCAGTGACAGTAGGCCCTGAAAAGACATGGAGCTATTGTGCGGCTGGTGGGTTCCAAGCAGTCCCAAATTGGGGACTTGAACTAGCCCCCAGCATCCAACCAGTTACTGCACAACTGTCCCTACTAGGCCAGTAGAATTTCTCAAGATCAACAGTTCAGCGGTTGCTTGGGTTTTTGGCTTGGATTGCTGGGGGGTACTCGGAGAGTGACTATCCGACTTGGGAAGGAGTCGACAGAGCCAATAGTAAGCACCCTCTTGGCAACGATAACAATGAAAACAATGACACCACCACCGGTTTGATGATTCAATGATAGTAATAGTAAGATATAATAAGAACAATAATACATGTACTACATGACATGTACTATCATATACTATGACACACACACATTATCTATATAATAGTTATACCATGATATGTACCAAATGTGGCCATGAGGCGACCTCCCAGACGACCATGACGGAAGCGTCCCAAATGACTGAAGAGGTCACGGCAAGACCTGGCAACGGGAATTTACTGATTGAAGCAGCAATTACCTGAGAATAATGTAATATAGAGACTGTATGTATATATATATTTATGTATATATACTACGTGTATATATATATATATGTAATTATTATATATGCATATACACACTGAATTTACCATGTGTTTTGATTCATTTTTTTGGGTGACATCCCAATTGATTGAGTTCATATTTGGTTTTAAGGGGATGTTGTTGAAAGACGTTGAAAGCAGCATGAAATCCAGACGAAACGAAGTGTTTGTGGCGCAACAATTTCTGCAGATGCAGGCGATGGAAAGGTTGTCACAGAGCGAGAAACGTCGTGACGCAGTCGTGCGGGATCTTGGATGTGATCTCAATGTGGGAGTTACCAGTGGGGCAGCATGTTTTTCAGACAAGCGAGGGGCAACCGAATCTTGGAAAGCACTGAATAGTACTGGTACTCATACAATGCGATGGTAAATCCAATGAAGGACTGAAAGATAAATCAAAAAAGACCCTGGGTCAAGTCTGATGCACGTGGAGCATGCTCATGTTCGTCGTCTTTGGGGTTCTTCAATTTCCGGGGGCAGACCATTGCCATTCTGCTACACAAGTTTTTAATATTTTAAGAACGAGTTTTTGTTCCCTCAGAATGGGATTAAACAAAGACCATGGTATTTGAGTAACATCAATTTCTGGTTGTTACCCTCTGGTGAACTAACATAGCAATGGAAAATCACCATGCTATCAATGGGAAAATCCACTATTTCAATGGCCATTTTCCATTGCTATGTTAGTTCACCAGAGGGTACACCCATTTTCAGAGAACCGTGAGTGAACAGAATCTTTCCAAAGCATCACAGCCCACGGTGAGGCCCAACAGCTCCATCTGGCGGAAGGACAAGTGGAACGGACGCTGGCAGAGGCAGTGGAAGGAGAGTGGGATGGCCATTTTTGATGCGGTTTTAGTATTTAGCGGGTTTGACTTTTCTTTTTTAAACTAAAAACTATATAATTATTGCTGTCTTTAAAACTGTTTTGATGGTATTTTTGATGGATCTTTAGTGGGCTTTAATGGAGAAACCATTTGGGTTTTAATGAGACCATACAATTTTTTTGCCACATGTTCAACGTTTTTATGCAAAGATCCAGACCTGGTTGAGAGATTGCAGTGATATTTGTATGATTTTGGATGATGCGTGTGCAAACTATGTTTTGGTTGATGGATCTTTATTTTTTTTCCAAAGATGGGAGATCGCCAACCACTTGGAAGATGATTTTGTCAACCACGAGATGGAAAGAATGTCGTACATCACCTTATTAAAAGTGAAAGACAACAATTTCACAGCTACTACTTGGATGGCAGAAAACTATGCCCTACAGATGTTCCTAACCACATCAAGCGGAGGCGGAAGCCAAAGCTGTGCCTTGGAGAATTTCGCAGCGCGAAGTGTGCGAGAATTGTGAGAAATTTCCAAGAACCATCATGTTTTTGTTTCCCCCATCTTTTTGATGATGTTCCCATTCCGGGCAGGGTAAATTTGTAACTTCAAGAACAGCATAGCATCCCATAGCAATGTTTCCTTTCGCTTTTCATGGGCCCATCACCAGCCGTCAAGTGCTAAGGAAGAAGCGAGTGCCAAGCTCGAAAGCAAGTACCAGATATCGCAGCGTCCGGATCCAGATGACCTCTGTTGAAGGTTGTTGAAGGATTTCCCTGAGGCTTCTTGCGTTTACCTTACCAAAAATCTTGAAAGCACATGCCAAAGTACTGGCCAAAGATCGCTGAATTGAATTTGAGTGGAAAGTGAAACATGATAAGCATGTGCAATCGAGGGGAGTAGAACACCCTGGACACAAATCGGTAGTCTAAAATGTGCAGCCATGGCTTTTTGGCCACGCGAGCAGATTCCCATGGAACTTCCAACATGATTTGAAAATCTTGAGATCCGACAATGATTTGACTGGAAACATCTTCAAAACCCATTCAACTTGGGGGTTCTCTGGTTGCTTTCCCCTTGGGCCTTCGCCTTCCTACCTTCCCAGGTCGTGCTGAAGAAGATTTGGAGAGCTTCAAGGCGGCTTGAGATGGTATCTTCATGTGCTGACCAGATGATGTTGCTTGGTATGGTCCATTTAGTATGGCTCAAAATGATGAATGGGTGGTGCTGCGATCAGAAATTTGATCATGCTAGATCTTGCCGGTCAGTGCGTGATCCATGTGATGGTCAACATCGTCACCCTGCAGCGCGCTTTTTCCAACAACAACTATGGCCCGGTATGGCTGCAATATTAGGATCCCTCTCCAAAAATGGATCCCATAGCCATACTTCATACCTGCCATAAACGAACAACAGAACTGCTATGGTTCCCGATCCCCCAACTGTCCAGGCGGAAATGGAAAGTCGTGCTCGTGCTGCTGAGGAGTTGCCTTGGGAAGATGATGGGAATGAAGGTCCCATCATTGGGTCCTGACAGAAATTCCATGGAAGAAAGCGTGGGACGTATCTAGTTTGTTCTAGTTTAACAATGTTTAACCTAGTGGTAAAGGTTTGGTAGAACAGATATGAACAGATGGTCAATGATGGTAATTTTTGCACCGACAATACCCGCAATGAGACTATTGCATACCTTGCTGTGTGGGTTGCACTGTGTTCTTTTTGCAATTTCCTTCCCTCGTTTGACAGCTGGTTTCTAAATTGACAGAGGGGTTAAAGCCGTTAAGCTGCCTATCAGGAAAGGATAGGTTTAGGTTATTCCTTCGCTAGTCGAATGCTGTATTCTTGTACCGTGCAGAATGCACCCGTACTATCCACTACTATCCTTATACCACCATTTCTAACGCCCACAGGAGCTGGTTTCAGCCATGCAGGATGAGAGAAGTTTGATGATGTGTGGAGGGTTTGTGTGCTCAGCGAATATTTCTTGTGTCAGGGCTGGGGTTGCTCCCTGCAACATGGGGATAGGTCAAGTTACCTATGAAATACTATTTTTTTTGGATCAACATCCGTTTTTATAAAATCATTTTTTTTTTTTAAATCAGGTTTTTTTGTGTAAACAGAAGGGTACACTGTACACTGGCTTTGGCACAGGCCCACATAGGCTTGGCTTGGTGTCAGGAGTGCTATGATTAAGAAAAGGTGGACACTTTCGGAATCCACATGTTCTGCTGAGAACTTATTTGAGGGTAAAACCTATAACCGGTTGGATTTGTGGGTCAACAATGATGGGACACACAGTCACTCGAAAAAAATCAAGGTAGACTGCCCAGCCTGAAAAGGGGGCTGGTCACTCCGCTGTTTGGCTCATGGACAGCGTAGCCACAGATGCTTCTGTGCCGTTTTAATCATAAAGCCCACATTAGAATGCACAAATGTGAACACCACATATAGTGTGTATATATATATATATAGAGTCTAGAGCTTGGGAGGAATTGCACCCCAACCGCTAAGCCATCATACTTTATTAACTCTGGAACATCATCTTTGTGAACTCCTAGACTTCTTGAAATTTCACGAATTCGTCGTAAAGAGCTGGGAGACAATGCGTGTCAAAGATCGATAGACACATCCAGCATATTCCAAGCTATGAACGTCACTGCCAGGTCCACCAAAGCATCCTAGTGATACATCTTTTAGGAGCAAAAAACATCCGCCTTTTCCGGCTCCTTAGTCCTTGTTGCCATGAAGTCCAAAGGGGCGTCGAAGACGAAGACAGGGGGCCGACTGGATTATAATTGGGACTGCCTGTCCCGGGATGATATCTACAGACAAAGAGTCTTTGGTACCGAATCTGGTGCCAACAACTTCATCCAAACTGATGACAAGAAACAACGCAGCGTGCCTGGGCAGCGATTCTGAGATGATCATCTGGAGATTTCCAGCTAGCATTGCTGGGACAAACACACTTGAAAGACCGTATCTCGTCTATGAGTCTTTTCATTCCCAACAGGGCACCTGAACTGATTCTGCTGTTTACATGCTTAGTTCAGGAAGGCCGTCTTTGTCCACATTGGACAAAAGTCGCAGAAATGGGTAAATACGGAAAAATGCGTAACGGACTCCGATTTCTCGAATTATTCATGCATATGATAAAAAATAATAACCGGAAAGTCATCAAAAAGCTTGGATAATGAAAGAACATCGTGACCAACTGCAGGTACGTCAGGGTGATCAGCCCTGATATCCCATCCAAGACCGTAGCTTCGTTGCACACGGTGGGTCAAGGATGCCGTGTGCCCCTGCTTGTAAATTGGGAACTGTAACTAAAAATTGGACATGTGATGAAAGCCCTTCGGAACAGGGGTTGCCCCCACACACAAAGGCCGTATGTCGCGAAAATATATCATCCGTTGCTTTCAGCAACGGTGATCTTGAAAAAACTGTTCCAGCGAACTTCAAAATGATTCCATGGCGAAAGTCTGAGAAACGAATCAGGAAGGCATTACAAAAATGGGCCAACATACAGGCAAGAAATGTAATGACAAAAATACAATGACAAAAATGCACGTCCATGAAGATATCGGGGCAAAACGGACAGCAGCAATACTTACTTGCGCTGGTTGAGTGCTTGATCGACGTCAGGTTGGGAACAAATCTTTCTGTACATATAAGACGCCCAGCTGCGTCAAGCTACTGGAAATCAAACTGGTCGGATACGTGTATTTTCGAATTAAATGAGCCCGGCTTTTCAATCCACTCATTCTGAGTCGGAGTGACCCCTGCCTGTAAATTGGGAACTGAAACTAAAATTGGACATGTGATGAAAGCCCTTCGGAACAGGGGTTGCCCCCACACACAAAGGCCGTATGTCGCCAAAACATAGTATCCGTTGCTTTCAGCAACGGTGATCTTGAAAAAACTGGTCCCGCAAACTCCAAAGTGATTTCATGGCGAAAGTCTGAGAGGCGAATCAGGAAGGCATTGCAAAAAAGAGCCAACATAGAGGCAAGAAATGTAATGACAGAAATGCAGGTCCATGAAGATATCGGGGCAAAACGGACAGCAGCAATATTTAGTTGCGCTGGTTAAGTGCTTGATCGACGTCAGGTTGTGAAAAACCTTTTCTGTACATATAAGACGCCCAGCTGCGTCAAGCTACTAGAAATCAAACTGGTCGGATACGTGTATTTCTGAATTAAATTAGCCCGGCTTTTCAATCCACTCATTCTGAGTCGGAGTGATCCCGCAGAGACGCAATCTCTAATCTGACGAATGTCAGGTTGAAGATATTCAACAGTGCGTCTTTCAACGTATTATTCGAATTAGATGAGCCCGGAGTTTTGAGTCCACTCATTCTGAGACGGGCAGATCCCGCGGATACACAATCTCGAATTTGGTGCACATCGGGTACTGACTCAGGATCAGAAAAAGGAAGCACAAGTGCAGGCAGAAAGCGACAAGTTCACAGGTGGTCAAAAAGCCTCAGATACCGGGTGACCCCCCACTTGAAAGCCGTTTTGTCGCAAACAATCATCGTAACGTGCTGTTTCATCTAGTTGAAAAATACGGTAAGTGGAGAAAACGTCGGATCGATTAAAACTTTTCTGTACATATGCTAATGCGAAAAGGCTAGCTGTGATCAAGCTTGCACAACGAGGAAAAAGGCAGGGCCAGACACTCAATGTGTGAGGCAGGATGAGAACCAACGAAAAACAAGTTCCAGTTCAACTGGACTGCCACTTAAGTCCAAGTCTGCAAAGACTTGAGAAACGGAGGTCTGAAGGTGGTCTTTTCTGTACAATGAGAAACTTATTGTCGAATTATCAACGTATCTGACTACAAGATGATCGAAACAAGGTTGAGTCAAAATTTGAAGCGTACTGCTCCACGACCGTTCGTTGTGGTCATGGCCAAATTCGACAGTGTCAAAGATGTCTGACTTCCGACTCCTGCACTTCTAATCTGACGCAAAATCCAAATCAGTGCGGAACAAGCTTGCATAATGGAGAAATCGCAATGGCGAGACATGTCAATGTCTGAAGATGGAAATCCTGTCTGTACATACAGCAGTGCTAATTCATGCAAAAAGTTCGGGTTTGTGACTACGAGTATTGAATTAAATGAGCACGACTTTTGAGCCCGATGCACCATGAGAGTGCAACGAAAACAAGTTCCAGTTCAACTGGACTGCCACTAAAACCCAAGTCTGTAAAGACTTGAGAAACGGAGGTCTGAAGGTGGTTTCTGCTGTACAATGAGAAACCTATTGTCGACGTATCGACGCAGCTGACTACAAGATGTTCGAAACAAGGTTGAATCAAAATTTCCGAAACGTACTGCTCCACGATCGTTCATTGTGGTCACGGCCAAATACGACAGTGTCAAAGAGGTCTAACTTCCGAGTCCTGCACTTCTAATCATTCTAATCTGACGGAAATTCAAATCAGTGCGTAACTAGCTTTCAAACTGGAGAAATGGCAAGGGCCAGGCACTGTCAATGTCTGAAGATGGAAATCCTGTCTGTACATATAGCGGTGCTAATTCATGCAAAGAAGTTGGGGTTTGTGACTACGAGTATTGAATTAAATGAGCACGACTTTTGAGCCCGATGCACAGTGAGAATGCAATGAAAACAAGTTCCAGTTCAACTGGACTGCCACTAAAGTCCAAGTCTGTAAAGACTTGACAAACGGAGGTCTGAAGGTGGTCTTTTCTGTGCAATGAGAAATTTATTGTCGACGTATCAATGTATCTGACTACACTACACGATGATCAAAACAAGGTGGAAACATGTTGGTTTTGAAAGATACTGCTACACGATTGTTCAACGTGGCCACTGCCAAATTTGACAGTGTCAAAGATGTCTGACTTCCGATTCTTTCACTTCGGATCTGACGCCAAACGTTCCGGCAGGCTTTGCCACATGAGTGTGAAACAAGCTTGTATAATAGGGAAAAGTCAAAGGTTTCTGCAAGCTTTGCCACATGAATGTGAAACAATCTTGTAAAATGAGGAAATGGCAGGGCCAAACACTGTCAATGTCTGAAGATGGAAATCCTGTCTGTACATACAGCGGTGCTAATTCATGCAAAAAGTTCGGGTTTGTGACTACGAGTATTGAATTAAATGAGCATGGCTTTTTGAGCCCGCTCAAACCAAGACGGAAGGTTCCGGCGGATACAGTGTCCCAAATCTGATGCCTGGCAGTGTGGACATCAGTGTTTGTTCAAGAATTGCAACAAAGAAAACTCCAAGTCTGTAAAGAATTGAAATTCTTGAGAAATCTGACGCAAAATCCAAATCAGTGCGGAACAAGTTTGCACAATGGAGAAATCGCAATGGCGAGACATGTCAATGTCTGAAGATGGAAATCTTGTCTGTACATACAGCGGTGCTAATTCATGCAAAAAGTTCGGGTTTGTGACTACGAGTATTGAATTAAATGAGCACGACTTTTGAGCCCGATGCACAGTGAGAGTGCAACGAAAACAAGTTCCAGTTCAACTGGACTGCCACTAAAATCCAAGTCTGTAAAGACTTGAGAAACGGAGGTCTGAAGGTGGTCTCTGCTGTACAATGAGAAACCTATTGTCGACGTATCGACGCAGCTGACTACAAGATGTTCGAAACAAGGTTGAATCAACATTTCCAAAACGTACTGCTCCACGATCGTTCATTGTGGTCACGGCCAAATACGACAGTGTCAAAGAGGTCTATAACTTCCGAGTCCTGCACTTCTAATCTGACGGAGGTTCAAATCAGTGCATAACTAGCTTTCAAAATGGAGAAATGGCAGGGCCATACACTGTCAATGTCTGAAGAATGAATTCTTGTCTGTACATACAGCGGTGCTAATTCATGCAAAGACGTTGGGGTTGGTGACTACGGGTACCTGTGTTGAATTAAATGAGCACGACTTTTGAGCCTGCTCAAGAAATCGGTCGACAAGATCGAAGTGATGATCTGAGCCATTATGGCATTCAGTCCAATGTCAAGTTTAATTCAATATCGAATGAAAAATCAAGCTGAATGTGTGAAATTCAGAAAAACCTGACGGGAGCTTGGGAATCAGATCGCCAAGCAATGCCTGTCAAATAGTGGCTGTGGGTGTTTATCACCCACATGCGGCCATGTTTGTGATGCACGCATCCTTGCGAATTCGGGCCACGGGTGAGGTCAATGCACTCACCCTCTCCGCCATTGTGCACGGTTTTTCCTGTGCCCCAGGCTAGGCCCACAAATATGGCGCCGCATTCGTTCTTGCTGAGATTCGTCCCATTGTGCAAGATACGACCTAATTCGCGCGCCTCCCACGAGGTGTATCCTACTTTGAATCCCTGAGCAAAGAAACTTTCACTTTCTGCAAAGTGGAGTTTGCTAGGTGCCAGCTTACCTTTTTTGAGAATGGCAACAAAATTACCAGGTTTTGTGGCATGTGTGAAGGCCAGATGGATGATTTCATCGAGGCCTCTGTCTGGTGCCGCCCGTCTTGGTATCGGCGGCATCCCTGCTGGAAGGTTGGCTCTATCATACAAAATTGAGATCGGCAAAAGGTAAAAATGCTCCATTGGAGCCGGTTGGTCAGATCCCTGATTCCATCCGTAATAGCTGGGATCATACGTGGCCATTCTCATGGGTCCCAAATCTTGTGACAAAATGTCAGCCTGTGCCAGTAGCTTGGCTACATAATGCAAAAAGGCTTCAGAAGTGGGATGCTCCTTGACTTGTTGGTTCAAAAAAGGATTTCAAACAAGGAATGCTCATGATCATTTAGCGGGACATGGCCTGACGGCGTGCTCGGAATCGAAAACGCATTAAAAGGAGCACTACCTAAAGGCACACTCAAAGATGCATTCGGAGCACTACGAACGGTCTGTGGCACCACCGGACGGGGTGGTGGTGGCGGCGGCGGAGGTCTTTCTTGAAATTGGCCGCTGTGACCGTAAATATCAAATACTCCAAGTGAAGTTTCCCAATTCCCTGGTGGGTATGTATGATGGGCTTGCTGTAAAGAGCGAGCCTCTGATCGAACTTCACTGACACTAGGTCCTGGGGACCGAGATCGTGCACGGCTATCGGATCTAGATCTCGTTTGACGAGGTCTACGGGATCGAGAAGATCTGGATCTCAGTGGTGAACGTTGTAAAGGTGCCAAACTGCTCGGTGCAGCTGGTGGTCTACCGATTTTCTGTACATCTTCAAGGGCTACAGACATTGGTCCCGGTGGTCTTCTAGGGGGGTCGAAGCTTGCAGTACCATCAGTAATTGGCAGCGCAGGTCGGACCTCACTCTTGGGTCTCAACGTCGAAACCACGGCAGCCGGTGCTCGAGGCGGTGGTGCTTTAGCCGCCTGACGGCTGTAGTCCCCTGCAATGAAATACACATTGTATGACATGGATGCAACTCTACGTGTCGAAAATGGAAAATGGAAAATGGAACACCATGACAACATACAATTAGAAAAGGTCAACTGTACAAGTATCAACGTGTGATACGTTTTCAGTGATTGGCTTCATGAATGAACGTGAAAAACATGTCGGTTGAGCCAGGATGTCTGTACAGAAACTGAAAGCTGAAGTACCGTGAAAACACTGCATCGAAACTCTCACTGATCCGTCCTACGAGTAAGTCTAAATGCTCTATTGCTGTTTCTTCTGCTTTGTTCTTTTGGCGACTCATAGTTGTTTCAGAGGAGGGCCCGAAAGCCTTTGTTCAGGAATAACCCCGAATGTTCAGAGTGAATCAGAGTGAATCAGAGTAATTCAGAGGCACAAAGTGCAATCAGAGATTTTCAGAGATTTTTCAGAGATTCTTCAACGCCTGAGAAAACATGCACGACAATTTCCATGGAGATCTTCGATCTCCGTTGGAAAGTGGAACTCCGTAGCACGAATTACTCATCTCGAGGGGACGGAAGGGAAAATTAGTCCCAAATCATATCGGATACGGTTCAAAGAAATACCGATGGCTACGATTCATGGTCAAAACGACCCAGTGGTATTGCCTTGTTGTTTTTTTCTGGACAAGGACCAGACATACCCCCATTTTTTGGTGGTGAAAAAGTTGAGGGCCGAAGCCAAATCAGAGGGATACTGTTCACACGCCGGCAGTTACCGGATCACGACAGGACCATGACGGAATCTCTGCCGAATACACACTTGAAAGACCGTATCTCGTCTATGAGTCTTTTCATTCCCAACAGGGCACCTGAACTGATTCTGCTGTTTACATGCTTAGTTCAGGAAGGCCGTCTTTGTCCACATTGGACAAAAGTCGCAGAAATGGGTAAATACGGAAAAATGCGTAACGGACTCCGATTTCTCGAATTATTCATGCATATGATAAAAAATAATAACCGGAAAGTCATCAAAAAGCTTGGATAATGAAAGAACATCGTGGCCAACTGCAGGTACGTCAGGGTGATCAGCCCTGATATCCCATCCAAGACCGTAGCTTCGTTGCACACGGTGGGTCAAGGATGCCGTGTGCCCCTGCTTGTAAATTGGGAACTGTAACTAAAAATTGGACATGTGATGAAAGCCCTTCGGAACAGGGGTTGCCCCCACACACACACACAATTACACAGAGATGGCCAGCTTTAGAGGATTTTGGCGGACTGGGGTGGTCAAGTCTCTGAACATCAGCACCTGAGGGGGGTTCCAATCTGCTGGGAAAAGGGTCGAGTTGTCTTGAAGTAGGGTAAACCACGATCCCATTCTAATCCTTTTATTCACCATTTAAAATCATGGCCACAACTTTCGGGTATGCCCCATTTCCAGACATAACCAACCACAATTTTTGAATCATTTCTGGGTTTGGAGCCCTCCAGTATCCTGTGGCGATCTTATGTAGGTGCTCTCGATGATCATCTACATTGTTTTGATTTTGTCCGCCATGAACTTTGTCTGGAAGGGTGGAGTCATTGAGTCCAAATTTGTGGTCACCCGTGCAGTGCTACAGTGGGTACCTGGGAGGAATTCAGCTGCAAAATGCTAAACGGCTTTGTCCAAAAACGGGGGGATGCCCCGATTTACGGCCATTTTCGATGGAGAACCTGACAACATTGGAGATGTTGGGGTGCTCTATTAAGACAAACCCATAGATCCCCGATTCTCATTCACGATTTTTGCATCCTTTTTTTATTCCTTTGTAGCAAAAAAATCCAGCGATCAATGGTGGCATTACCATGTTTGATGATTTCTTTGTGTTTCTTTCACGTCCGTCTCCCGTTTTCAGAGCTTCACCCAGGTGAGCAATCGAAAGTTCGATCTCATGTTGACCCCCGAAGCCTTCGCAGACATCGACGACTTGGATGATGTGAAGGAGACCGGGCTGGGGCTGGGGGGGCGATTCTGCTGGGTCCCTACAGGGGATAGTTGGCCGAAATTTCAGCCATTTCTCGCAATAGAGATTGGCAGGTAAGATGGAGATAATCATGATTGGAACCAAGGCAAGAGGGGTTTGAGGTGAGAGGTTCAAACGACAAGAAAAGGAATGCACACGGAGCAGAAAGGGATACGATTACATACCATTACTATATCACAACATATCACAACATTGTCTGTAGTGTTTTCCAAACATTTCCAAACGGGGAGCTCAAGCCTGTTTGGTTGGCGTGTTTTGGACCCCCAAAAGTTGCAAGCTGAATTCCCAGCCATCCGGAAACGAACCCTGTACTGAACCATTGGGGGCCAAAAATTGGGAGCGTCGATGGAGTCACGACTGCCATAGATGGTTTCAAACACCTCAAGAGTATTTTTCTCAAATGGCTGCTGATTCATATTTTGCTTTGTTCTGACTACATTTGCGTGTTGAGTGGAAAACATATTCCATGCCACTTGGTTGACATTTTGATGATGACAACTTTGCAAATTGCCAACCAGCAGAGGATTGGTTGAGGTTTGCTCTCCCAGCCATCATTGCTTCGCCGGTGCAACAAGCCAATTTCCCACTTTTCGGAGTCCGTTTTTCATTGCGGAACGTGACATGGCACCGGTTGATGTTTGATGAGCTGTCAAGGCTGTGTGGAAAGGCCAAAGCATGCCATGTGATCCAGCTGAACCCACAACAACATTTGATGACGTTTGAGATTTTGAAGTTTTCCGAAACTACCAACTGTTGAGCTAGCAAAGCTGTGCTTTGACTGTGAAGATATTAAGAGTTGCGACTTGTTGGGAGATTGATAGATTGTACTCTCTATGCGAAACCCCGCTAGAAGAATGCCTGGAAAGCATCTCAAAATTGCCCAGGGGGCTCAACTCACTCGTTTGCCCTGTTGGTGTCCGCTTTAACCAACAAACATGGGGATATATATATATATGTATAATTATGTATATGTATTATATATAGACAGATACTAGTAGATTGATGGATGTATAGATATTGATGATATATGTATGTATGATTAGCCAATAGAGGATTCTTGGCCAGAAATATGCCCGATTTTTTTGGTGCAACGTGCTTCACCTGGTTGGAGGAGGAGAAGTAGACTTGGCTTCAGGGTATCACAATAGATTTTGCCACTCAGGTCTTGTACGCAGGCTTTGTTCACCCCTGTTGCCACAGGGAAAACACGTTTTTTTTCGGGGTCTGTACTTGGACATTATGGACATTCATCTCACTTAGTAACTGTTTGACTGGTTGATCATCATGGTTTTCTAAATTCGTTTAATCCCTTCATGGGAGAAGCGCTCAGCAAACCGCAGGTCTTAGACACCAACAACTCGGAGCCTCGCTTTCAGTCCTTGGCCAAAGTGACCTGGAAGGAGACATAGTTTTTTTGGGACCGCACTTTGGATAGGACTTGAAGATATTGGATCATATTGTATCACAGTGTCATATATTGATATGGGGATGGGTCAAAACCCTATCCCCCTGGTGAACATCAAAATAGCTGGTAAATGGATGTTCATCCCCTTAAAAATGGTATTAATAGGTATTGATCCATAGCCATATATATATATACATATATTGTCTACTACAGCCATACACTCATACAAGATGTATTAATTAATATGCATTATAACTAAAATGTTATATTCTAAAGATATGATCAACAGATTCTATATCTATTCTGCAATCATATTCCACTATATTGTGGTTTCCTGAAATGGGGGTACCCCCAAATCATCCATATTTTAGCAGGATTTTCCATTATAAACCATCCATTTTAGGGTACCTCTATCTATGGAAACTCCCATATAATATATATAGTATCATATATAGTGGAATATCATATTCCCATATCTACTATATCTGTCAATATTCCACTATAATATAATATCATATGGGACGAATATATACAATATCAACTAAGAGTTATCCCACTATGGCATCATATTCCCATATCTATACTGGCTGGTGGTTTGGAACATTTTTTATGACTTTCCATATATTGGGAATAGTAACCCCAACGGACTTTCATATTTTTCAGAGGGGTAGGCTCAACCACCAACCAGATATTATTAGATCAGGTATTAATCACTATTAACCACTATAAATCACTATAAATCACTATTAATCACTATTAATCACCATATATTAACATCTATTAACCACTATTAACCACTATAAATAATATTCATTAGATCAGGTATTAATCACTATTAACCACTATAAATCACTATTAATCTATCATATTAACCACTATTAACCACTATTAACCACTATTAACCATTATTAATCACTATAAATCACTATTAACCACTATTAACCACTATAAATCACTATTAATCACTATTAACCACTATAAATCACTATTAACCACTATTAATCACCATATTTCATTAATCTATCATATCATATTAACATCACCAGCTGCAGGACAAGGCGGGCATCCGCACCTCCGCCGCCGCCACAGCCTCATCCTTCACCGGGGGCTACCAGAACGACGACACCGAGAGCTTCGGGGCCTACCGGGAGTGCCCTGGGAAGCACCGGGGAAGCCCTGGGGGATGATGCAAAAACCATGGTAAAAACCATGTAAATCCATGGGTTATTGAGGAAACACCATGTAAGAACCAGAATGGTTGCCAAGACAAGGGGCTTTCAGCATGTTTGTGTTTTACTACAAGCTGATTTGAGGGAAAATCTAGAGGAGAGTAGGAATTTTACCCCAAAATCACAGGTTTCCCTGTAGATTTTCCCTTCAATGAACTGAAGTATATAAGGATAATTATTTTCTTAGTGATCCCCACCAACTGATATTCTATCTGACACATATTCTGACATTATATATGGCATTCTATCTGACAAATATTCTGACATTCTATTCTATCTGACATCTGGCGCCCGCGGTTGAGGTCCGGCAGCGCCTACTGTGATCTGGCGTCCGCGGTTGAGGTGTGGCAGTGCCCATTGAGCTCTGGAGCTCGCGGTTGAGGTCCGGCAGTGCCCACTGAGATCTGGAGCTCGCTGTCCTACTTTTTCTGCTCTCTTGCTCTCCCTCCCCTTTCTGGTCTCCTACAAGGTTCCTCTTCTTCTCTCCTTCGCGTTTTGCCTTTTCCACCCTTTTTAGTCTGGTTTCCGTTCTGCATTCTTCTTGCCCCAAGTCCGCAGCACTCATAGCCAGTGCTGGCTGGCATGAGGGACTTGGGGAACTGAAATGCAGCATGCTTCTTCTGCTGCTCTCTTCCTTTTTCGTTCCCATCCTTCCCCTTTTCCCTTTTTTTCTCTTCCACCTCTTGCCCGAGTCCGCAGCACTCAAGGCAGATGCTGGCTGTCATGAGGGGCTCGGGGAACTAAATTCCAGCAAGAACCTCTCTCTTCGTGCCCTCTTCTGCTTTCTATGCTCGCTCCTCCCTGCTCGCACTACCCTTCCTGCTTTCCTTGCTTTTTCTATACTTGCTCTACTTTCCCTACTCTGGCTGCTTTCCTTTTTCTTCCTACTCTCCTTGCTTTCCTTACTCTTTCTGATCTCCCTGCTCCCTGACTTTTCCTAGCTCCGCTACTTCCTACTTTGCCTGCTCTTCCTGCTCTTTTTGGTCTCCTACAAGGTTCCTCTTCTTCTCTCCTTCGCTTTTTGCCTTTTTGTCTGGTTTCCGTTCTGCATTCTTCTTGCCCCAAGTCCGCAGCACTCATAGCCGGTGCTGGCTGGCATGAGGGACTTGGGGGAACTGAAATGCAGCATGCTTCTTCTGCTGCTCTCTTCCTTTTTCGTTCCCCTCCTTCCCCTTTTCCCTTTTTTTCTCTTCCACCTCTGCCCCGAGTCCGCAGCACTCATGGCAGATGCTGGCTGTCATGAGGGGCTCGGGGAACTAAACTCCAGCAAGTACCTTTTTCCCTGCTCGCGCTACGCTCACTGTTTTCCTTGCTTTTCCTACTTACTCTCCCTACCCTCCCTGCTTTCCTTACTTTGCCCGCTTTCCCTCCTGTCTTCTCCCGCCTCTTCTACCTCCTACTTTGCCTATACCCTCCTGCGCTTCCTGCTCTCCCGTTCTTCTACAAGGTTCCTTTTCTTCTTCCCTCCGTCCTCTGCTTCTCCACTGCTTTTGCCTGGTTTTCCTTCTGTTTATGCAAACGCTGAGGACCAGCCCGCATATGCAGGCTGAGAAAGTGAGGGTGCAGCCCAGATAAAACGGGCTCCAATTTTCGAAGTTGACAGCATCAAAAACGACGCAATTCTGGGAGACTTCCTTCAAAAATGGAAACTTGAGTGCAGAGCTGACGGCCGTTTTGCGACTTCTCCACTCCATCTGTCTGAAGTACTGCGCAGGCCAGATCATACGAAGTGCTGCGCGTGTCACACAAAAATCATCTTACCAAACCTGAAGATCTGATGCTTCAAAATGCAACCCCTCTCGGGAAATCAGCGCCCGGACCTCCCGGCATCTCTGATGAACATGTCTCTTGTATTGCGCCTACCACGCGAAATTCATCTTTGCAGATCCTCTTCAAATGTCCCACGCCTGCCAACGCTTTTGAATTGCTCCAAAACCTCCACGTTTTGCTCACTTTTGACAAGGTGCACAATCCCTTGCGCCTGCCACGCAAAACGGCATCTGAACGTCCAAAGGTGCTCCGTACCCGTCAGCTTTTTACACTTTTGACTTCGAAACGTGCTTCGCGCCACAATGGCGTACACTTTTTCGACGACTCAACTTCCAAAAGTGTTCCGAACATGTGGGGTTTTTGCGCACTTTGACTTCGAAATGTGCATCGCGCCACAACGGCGTGCAACTGTTCTTCTCTCATCTCGCCAGATGGCTCCGCACCCGCCGCTTTAGCGAGCCTACTTTTCGACCCTCCGGAGTCACAAACCATTGGCAAAACACAGTGTTTCGCGACTTTTCTACCTTCTTCGCGCGCCTGCATCTTCTTTCTTCCTATTCTTTCTCTTCTCTGATCTTTCTTCTTCTCTTCTCCTCTCTGCTCTTCCCACCTCTGCTTTTTCATCTGTCCATATTGTCGGAAGTTTGACTTCCAAACTTCCTTCGAACAGTAATGAACCATGATGGTGATGATTGGTTAACTCATATAGTATGATGACCGTCATTTTTAAACCGAGAACCAAATTAGTCATAACGGCCCATACTATTTTTGAGCATTTTTGATTGCTTGCGTAATGCATTCATTTAACCATTGTTTTATTCTTTCTTTCTTTCTTTCTTTCTTTCCCTTTTCTTTCTTTTTTTCTTTCCCTTTTCTTTCTTTTTTTCTTTCTTTCTCTCTCTGTTTTTTTTGGTTTTGTTTGTTTGTTTGTTTGTTTGTTGGGTTTGTTGGTTTGTTGGGTTTGTTGGGTTTGTTTGTTTGTTTGTTTGTTGGTTGGTTCGTTCGTTCGTTCGTTCGTTCGTTTGTTTGTGTACTTATTATATTTGTCCGAACGTCATGGTGTTTATTCCTCTTGTGGTCATTTTTATATCTGGGATGGTTTTTCAAGATCATTTCGCTGTTCCAGAATGAGCATAGCTCCTTAGCTCCCCGCATCAGGTACGGCTTCAACAGCGAGCAGGCGCAGCGGCTGTTCTCGCGTGACAACACCACAGCAGAGGAACTGCAGAACTTCAGCCTGGGACTGCAGTGGTGCTCTGTGCCTTGGCGCTGGGCTTTGGGATGGTGCCAGATGTAAAGCATGTCAGATGAGCAGTGGTTGCTACACCCCTATTGGGTGATTTTTGCAAGGGATTATATATCCAATGTAAACAAATAAATAAATAAATATATGTATATATATATATATATATGTAGGAGGTTGTCACAATCCGCTGTAGGAATTCCCATTACCCAACCAGTACAGTGGAATGACGGAGGATTTTTGAACACTGCTCAGACGGGGATGGGTCAAGTTACCTGCGAAATTACCATATCACTGGGGAAGAACCATCCAGCTATACCAGCTATAACTTAGGCACCGTTTGGGTAACAGGGTCTTGACCCATAACCCGATTTTTTTTCCGGGAATTGATGGAATGATTTTAGGGATGTTTTTTGGGACAGCTCTTGGCATTATGTTGGATTATAACAAATCGTCCTCAACATTACCCATGAATGGGTGGCAAAAACCATGCTCAAATGATTGGTTTATGTTTGGCTTACATAAAGGGGTTCTGGTAATCCATTCTTTAAAGCGTTTATTCATGATGTCCAGGGGTTTGAACAAGGACTTGACTCAGGTGGTAGCCATCTTGAAACCTGGGGATGTGAGGATGGTTTGTGATGGGCATAAGTCATTCTGGTAAGTGAGTTCCGTTCTTATCTAACTGACCTTTCCACTGGGAGAAGGAAATTTTGTTTTTTTCTGATAGGCCCATGGACCCATAGATATGGATGGGCTGGAAGGTGATTGTTTATTTTTGGCAAAGCGTAGCCACTTGATGCCAACTGTCAATTGGTGGAATCCTAAGAACTTCGGCGCGTTAGTGACAGCACAACTTGCCTTGGGCCAGGGATGTTCGTTTCTCGTCAGAGGTAGCTTAAATATCAGATGGCCATAGGTTCAAACTATATCATTTGGGTAAAATACACCTGTCAATTCCATGGCCTTGAATAGGTTGAATAAAGTTTAGAATTTTCAATCCATCACAAATCATCAACAATCATCACGAACTATCAAAAATCATTATAAATCATCCTAAGTGGTCCAGATAGCATCTCAACATTGCCCTATTTTTTTAAGCCCTCTAGAGATCTAACGTAAAGTTTTAGCTGTTGAACATGGCCCATGTGCTTCGATGATACGCACGCACACACACACACTATCTATCTATCTATCTATCTATCAATCTATCTATCCATCCATCTATCGATCTATCGATCTATCTAGCTATCTAGCTATCTAGCTATCTAGCTATCTAGCTATCTAGCTATCTAGCTATCTAGCTATCTAGCTATCTAGCTAGCTAGCTAGCTAGCTAGCTAGCTACCTAGCTACCTAGCTACCTAGCTACCTAGCTAGCTAGCTACCTAGCTACCTAGCTAGCTAGCTACCTAGCTACCTACCTAGCTAGCTACCTAGCTAGCTACCTAGCTACCTAGCTACCTAGCTACCTAGCTACCTACCTAGCTACCTAGCTACCTACCTAGCTACCTAGCTACCTAGCTACCTAGCTACCTAGCTACCTAGCTACCTAGCTACCTACCTAGCTACCTAGCTACCTAGCTAGCTACCTAGCTACCTAGCTACCTAGCTACCTAGCTACCTAGCTACCTAGCTACCTAGCTACCTACCTACCTACCAACCAACCAACCATATATATATATATACATAGACACACACACACACACATAGGTCCCTCTGACAATTTTCCATAGCAAACGGTTCGTCATTACCAGAGGGTACCACCTTCAGGCGCCCATCTCCACCTGCGATGGTGAGCTGTTGACGGATTACTTCTATGTGCCTTGGAGGGGTCAAGATCTGAGGAGGTTGTCCATCGGGGTCTAGAAAAACCAAGGGGGATCTATGGGGGAAGCTGTTTTTGGGGTCATGAGATTTGGCGTAAGCAAATTTGCAACAAACCCCCATTTGAACAAGTTATGATGACGTCACTGGCCAACGTCTCTAACCACCATAGATGACCCTGAAGCAACAACCAGCTGGGCAAATTACAACAACCTAACCACGACATATAACTTTAAATGATGGTTCGTAGGAGAACAATGCCCAAATGCGGTATGTTATTTTTATGATTTACCCAGAAATGTTCTGGCCACTTCACGACGACACCCGCGCCCGCACTGGAATTGTTTGCTCAGGGTAGAACATGTGATATCTCTTAAAAGGACTAAATTGCAATAAAGCCTGTTTGTAACGCTTTGTAAACTTTGTGTGAGACCATCAAGTTTATTATGTAGTTCCCCACCTGCCAGGTGAGGGTCTCTGGACTTTATCGCTTGTCGCCTTCCGTCCTCTTCCTCCTTCCTTCCTTCCTCCTCCCTGCCTCCTCCCTGCCAATCGCGAGCGCCAGATCTCAGTGGGCATTGCCGGACCTCAACCGTGGGCGCAAGATCTCAGTGGGCACTGCCGAACCTCTCAGTGGGCACTGCGGACTTCAACCGCGAGCTCCAGATCTCAGCGGGCACCGCCGGACCTCAACCGCGAGCGGCAGATCTCAGTGGGCACTGCCGAACCTCTCAGTGGGCACTGCGGACTTCAACCGCGAGCTCCAGATCTCAGCGGGCACCGCCGGACCTCAACCGCGAGCGGCAGATCTCGGTGGGCAGTGCCGGACCCCAACCGCCATATCTCAGTGGGCACTGCCGGACCTCAACTGCGGGCGCCAAATCACAGTCGTCACTGCTTGCTCGCGGTTGAGGTCCGGCAGTGCCCATGTCAGAGAAAATGTCAGAATAGATGCCAGATAGAATGCCAGAATAGAATGTCAGAGAGAATGCCAAAATAGATGCTAGAAAGATTGCCAGATAGAATACCAGAGAAAATGTCAGAATAGATGCGAGAAAGGATGCCAAATAGGATGTCAGAACGGATGCCAGATAGACTGCCAGAATAGAATGTCAGATAGACTGCTAGAATAGAATGTCAGACAATATTTGCCATATACTTCCACATGAGATGTCAGAAACTATGACGAAATAATGTCACGGCGGTGATTACTCGAAGTAAAGTATTCTTTAATGGTTACAAAGTTCTAAGATCCTGTAAGAAATCCGATTGCCCGGTTGTTTATCGCTTATGTTGGGCTCATTTGTTGGTCTTGGGGCCTTGGGTTTGATTTATGTTGAGCCTGAATGAAGACCAAATTGAGATACTTGTGCCTATATTGGGCCCCATAAGGTCCATGCTGGACCCCCTTTTGACCCTATGTAGCCTATGTTGGACGCTGCTGAGCTGATATAATTTTGACCCGTTTGATCATTTCTTCACCTTACAGGGGGAAACATGTGATGTTTGCTGTGTTTTTGCGCTATTTGTGATGTGAGGAAAACGGTTCGAACCACCTCAAAATGGCCCAAAACTCCAACTTGAAATGGCCCAACCCAGCATCTTTCCAAATAGCGCAAACTGTGCAAGACAAAACTCAAAGATATAAATAAGCAATCCAAGGTGGGCTTAATCCGGGGGGTCCGGGAACTCAAGTAAACGCTGAACATGGGTTCGATTTAGGTTTGGCACAGGCGTGAACATGACAAACATACACAAAAACACGTTTCTTTTCTTGTTTTTCTTTTGGCAGTGTTGTTTTTCCTCGAAACGCGTGAAACATAATCATATTCATTGAAAAATCTATGTTGATGTGAAGGGAGGCGAATTCGGAGCGCATGTTCAGGCGATGTTATTGTATGTCATGTGTCTATTTTGAGCCTATCTTAGCGCTATGTCGGGCCCATGTTAGGGTCATTTTGGGCCTGTGGGGCCCAGCTTGTGTCAATGTTGGGCTTTAACAACTGTTGCCATTGCTTCTGGATCATGCGTGCACACAAAAACGCTTCGGCACCCTCGGTCCGGGCAGATTTCTGTTGGTGCATCATTCAATGGCTGTCTTGGAACCATTAGCAAGGTGAGTTTTTTTTCTTCATGGCTAGGTGCCCTAGTAAATTCCGCGTCAGAAACTATCGAGTTGAATCAGCGGCACAGAGCAGCGCCCGGAATCAACATCCAAAGGTTCGGAGCAGCGTCGCAGAATCAGCGTCAAAGACGATCCTGGATTAATTAACATTAAATGGTCGGGACTACTATCATAAGCATTGATAAGCTGTTGAGGTAGCAATGGCAGGAGGAGCGTGTCATATGTTACTACAAGGGCATCCATGGTTACCGTATACTTGTATATAATTTAAGCAGCAATATACCGGACTTTGCTTGATTTGGCGTTTGTAGAAAATGGATTCCTCTGTTTTCCCCGTTTCTTTAGGGACCGTCGGGATGGTCGTGACGGTCGGGGTAGTCCGCAAGGTTCCGACCCATACCGTCCCAACCCAGCCAATGTAGATTTCGATCCAGCAGTGCCGATCCGACCCATCTAGATTCCGATCCAACGGTGAACATGAAGGGCGCTCAGAATCCTTGCCTTGCGTTGACTAAAAACTTAGGGGAAAGCTTCCCCAAATTCGGCTGTCGTGAGTTCCGCAATGAAACTAACAATGGAGTATACTGGGACCCATCTCCACCCGGACCCAATTTCAGACTCACCAGGATCGGTCCCAAGCCTCCTCGGCAGTGGTTGATGACTGCAACTTGAAGTGCGAACAGATGCAGCGGCAGAATCGGCTCTGTCATTGCTGGACTTTGACCACCACGCATTGCAACTTTTATCACGTGCCGCTCCATTTGTTGCTGAGTTGCAGAACCTACATTGTTCTTCTGTGTGTGTGTGCGCGTTTGTTTTTGCAGAGTTGAGAGTTGAAGGGTGGGAATTTTCACTGTTCTGGAACAAGCGCGGTTCAAGCCTCCAGATTTCGTATTTCTTTCGCATTTGATGGTGGCATCCATCAAACCCTAAAATCGGTCAGCAGGAGTGTTGGTTCATTCTTTGGTTATGCCCCAGAAATGGATGTATGGAACATTACGGAACTCTGAACTCTCTGGGGAAGATTGTTGCAACAAATCACAGCAACCAAATCAACCAGTTTACAGTAACAACCAAGAAGAAGATGGCAATCTCACACTCAACCAGCTGACCAATATTTCAAATTGGTTCCAACATCTGCAGCAACATGTTCTGGTAGTTCTACGGATCCGCAACTCGTGTTTTTCTGACGGATGGTAACGTGATCCCCAGGTTGGTAAGCACTCCTCCGGTGGAGACACCATGCTGGAACCACAGCAGCGTGAACGTGTACCCCACGCTGATCGAATCCACCAACGGGCGGACCTCGTACTTCCCCTTGATGAAGCGCTTTGTGCACACCAGCAACCGACCTTTAGAAGCTAGGTCTGAACAGGTGCTTTAGATGAAGCCATGGAAGTGATGGAAATCCAGAAAATCCCCTACATTTTAGTGGGAACATACCTTCACTTCTTCTGGTTTCATGTAGGGTTGGGAGGAAAATGTCTCTGGACTGGGAACTCACTGAGATCGTGAAGCTGGTCAATCACCATCCCTTCCCCAGTTGGATGTGGGGCTAAACTTAAGAGTCTTGAAACTGCAGATGCAGGCCGTTCATGATATGTTCACTATTGTTTGCCAATTTCTCCCATTGATCATCCATTTCTCTCCATGCTTTTGTGTGTTCAAATTTAGACCAATGGAACCATGGTATTCGTATGGATCATCCATGTTGTATTGATGCATCCTCCCATGATTCCAAAAGTCAGGGGAACAATTTCACGATGACAAGGAATCTGGCTTCCTGGAAAGTTTCCCCAAAGGGCCAACTCAAGGAACATCACAGTGGAGGGTTGCACTCCGAATTCTGAGGAGTTTCCCATTTTCCTTGGTGAATGTTTCCGAACTCCCCATGTAACACCATAAGTTGATGGTATTAGAATTCCATTTTTGATGGCTAAAACCAAACATGTGTTGGCGAAATTGCGAAAACCCTGAGTCTTGATGGTGGTTTCCACATTTTTGATGGTGAATTCCACACTTTTGATGATTCAAACCCCATGGAGCACCCATCCCCCTTTTCCCTCGCAACACGTTGTGGTGCACATCGTGTTTCTCAGGGGGGCTTCTTTGCAGAGGCTTACGGCTCCACACAAGGCTTTCTGCAGGCGCAGCCTTTTTTTTGGGATTCAGTGTGTGTAAATATGGGCGGAAGCTTCCAAAAATGAAATGGCTATAAGAAACCAATGGCCTATAGGAAAGTTTTGCGATGCACAACGCAGAAGCAATGAATTGCTGAAGTTGTGAGGTCCATCATCATCATCATCATCACCACCATCATCATCATCATCACCACCACCATCATCATCATCATCACCATCATCATCATCATCATCATCATCATCAACGAATGAGCAAATGGTGGTCGAGACGCGAGTGAGATGACATGAAAGAATCCATGCACAACTGGCCGAATGAACCAGTGAACCAATGAATCAACGAGTCAATGAATCAATAAATGAGTGAATTAGTCAGTCGATGAACCAATGAATCAAAGAATCATTGATTGAGTGAACTCATGATTCAATAAATCAATGTCTCCATCAATGAACCAATGAGCCAGCGAATCAATGAATGAGTGATTTTTCTGAGCCCATGAATCAACAATCAATGAGCCGATGATTCAGTGAGTCAGTAAATGAATGAACCGATGAGTCAGTGAATCGTTGAATTGGTGAGGCAACCAATCGACGAATGAGTGAGTGAGTCGATGAACCAATGAACGTGTGAATGAGTGAGTCGATGAATCAGTGAATCAGTCAACCAATGAACCAGTGAACCAATGAATGAATGAATTAGCGAGCCGATGAGCCAATGAATCAACTAATGAGCGAATGAATGGATGGATGGATGAACGGATGGATGGATGGATGGATGAGTGAGCTACTTCTTTGTTGAGTTACTTCTTCACTGAGCGACCTCTTCGCCAAGTCTCAGCTGCTTCTTCTCTGACAGTCGAACAGCCTCTTATCTGGGCTACTTCTTCTCTCACCCTGCTCTGAGCTGCCTCTCAGCTAGCTCTTTTGTAGCTTCTGCAGCCCAATTCTTCTCTTCGCGCAGCTGTTACAATGCGTTTAGGAACCTCCAGCAGCAATCCCGCATAGCACAAGAGTAGCACTATGGCAGGAACTACCTTTCGCGCGGCTGTTACACTGCGTTTAGTAACGTCCAGCTGCAATTCCACTTCATGCCGCTTGCCAGGAGCGTCGCAGCATCGCTAACTGCTTTGCTGCGCGCAGGCGTGTCAATGCGTTTTGTCACAGCCAGTTGTAAGCCCGCATGGCAGGAGTGTCGTGCGAAATCGACCAACTTTCGCGCAGCCTCCGAACATGGTGGCGGCTGTTTACGTATTTTTTGCGAAATCAAGCTCTCGCTACAGTCTCGTGCAAGTTTTTCCGACCTTATCTTTGAAAAGTGCTCTGAGTCTGAGACCATCAAATTTTTTAGCATCTTCAAGTGCAAACCGAGCTCTCGCTGCAGTCCTGTGCGCTTTTTGTCCACAACTTTCCCAGATCGAGGACCCTACTTCGGTGACCCTAGGAGCCACATTGCCCGAGAAAACGCAGGGTTTTGCGCCCGAGAGTGTTTTCACCCGTGAATTCACATGCTTCCGAGCTGTTTCTCTCCTGTGCTGCTCTCGCGCGCTAACCGCTCTTGCAAACTTTGTGGTTGACATGGCTATATGTTTCAGATGAACATGACTATGTGGTTGACATCATGGTGTGAATGCTAACCATGACCATCGTCCGTAACTCGGAAGTTTTCCAACTAAACTTCCTTCGAAAAACAATAATTAACAATAAAACGCAATAATAAGCAATAATAGGAATAATAGTAATAATGCCAATAACAGTATACATTTTTTGATACTACATGTACGGTAATTACATTTCTTTTCGTATATAGTATGTATACGTATATTATGCGTAGACGCATATGTCAATATATGTACACATATAGGCAGATATGTATGGCTGTATGAAATGTGGACATGGGATGGTATGTACATAAAAACCCGCAATTGGCATGGTTTCACGTCAAGTGGTTGTGATTTGTGGATGTTCACCCCTCCATCGTACACGATGGGAACGTGATAGCTTTTGATTCATCCACATTTTGAACATCAGGCATCTCTCATGGTTAATCGGGGTAAACACCATGTCCTTTTTGGGACTGCAATTGCTCCAAGACCCGCAGGGAGTGCACTACTGGACGCAAGAGCAAGTGGACGGCATCATTGCTCTGAAACAGAACTTCTCGAACAGCGGGGATGGGGATTCACCCTCCTCCCAGGGTTTGATGTTCAAGCAGTTGAACGATTGGATTTTGGGAGGTTTCCTTGGCCCCAAGACAGGCCGGCAATGGGTTTGGTCAGCTGGGTACACTTTCATTTTTCAAGCGTAAGAAGCAAACTGAAAAATCAATGTATACAGAAACATAGCAGCATCAACAGTATTGAACATGAATTGTTGCTGAATTTGAGTTTGTCTGAAATTAGGGGACCCTCGAACCCAATTGGTTTTCAATCGTTTCTTGTATCAAATTTAAAATCGTGTATAATTACCCCATTGTTTTTTCTTTGTTGCTGTTGTAGTTTTTGTAGCAGTCCGGCCGTTTTGGCAGAGGCTACTTGGTGGTGGATTGGATGAACTGGAATCCAAATCACGATGTGGTGAGTTGCTCGGAGCAGTTGGTGTATCCCTGTGTGACACCGTTGGACAATTTTGGTGATGGAGAATTGGGGGGGGCACTTTTTGAAAAGAACTTTCATGTCATATTGAAACTGATCTCACTGATCTCCATACTTGGATTATCTTGGATTATTCATTTACTTATATTTGTTTTTTGACTTACATAAATCTCACCCGTGCCTCTGCAGGATGGACAACCAATGCTGCTTGTCCCGTCCGAGCCGGTACTGCAGGTTGGGTAGTGCTGAAGTTCAAAGTGGATGCCAGCGGATTGGTCTCCACCGGCCGCAGCATCAATCATCTCGTGCTTCTTGGCCTCGATATGGAGAGTTGGCTAAGGCTAAGGGGAATGGCAATGGCGTTCTCAGCTGCTGGGCCGCCCACCAACGATAAGAAAAAAAGTGCCTGTCCCTTGTTGGGGGAAATTCTAGGGAATTGGGATTCAAGCAACCATTGGATAGGCGGACATGTCCACAACAGTCGCGGGACTGGGTGGGACTCTGGACTGGGATGATTCCTGAAGGCGATGGTTGGTGAATTGGAAACTCTTTTTTTTGGGGGGTTCAGAAGTTCAAATGGCGGACATATGCATGTTGAGTGAGGATCAAGCGTCTCTTAGCATGACCAGCTGAAGTGGTGACAGACAATGCAGGTGAAGCTGAAGAGAAGCTGATGTGGATCGTGATCTAGGATCATGGGTGGATTTGTCAATGATGGGACCCCAGTTCTGATAGGACCTGATTCGGAGTGATAGAGCATAGGATCTGGGCTCTACGACTCTACGACATGATTTACAACGGATTTACATCAGCTCCGAGGTCTAGAGTCGAAACAGTCGAAGAGACCCGGCCAGCTTTTCCAGCCGAAGGGGCCAGTTTTTACCGGCGGCCTTAGGATTCCACAGAAGGACTTGGACCTGATACGAGAGGATCCCAATTCCATCTTTTGGCCAGGTCGGATGGGCACCATTAGATATTGGGATGCCATGGCTGATGTTTTGTGTGTCTGAGAAGGGTGGACTGATCCCCCAAATGGATCCACATGGCTGTTTTCAAAGTGAACATTTTGATTGACCAACGGATTTCAAGTCTTTTCTCTGATTTTTTTTTTAGACAATCCCATATCTACACAACAAAAAGCGGTGACGTATCTCCCCAAGAAGTGACCAAAATTGAAGAACTCCACATTCAAGGGTCATGGGCCAGTCATGGGCGTAGCTACTTGGGCACTTCCTGCATCATCTTGCCACGCCTTAAACGTCTTGCTGCATCTTGCCGCGCAAGGCTTCAATGTTTGGCATGGCCTGTATATCCTGTTGGTGGCCTATTACTTCTTTAAGGAGGTCACCGGTCCAGGGTGCCGGAGATGGCAACGGCTTGGGCGGTTGGGCGGTTGGGCGGTTGGGCGGTTGGGCGGTTGGCAGCGATTTCACAGCGCCGAGGTCTACGAACTGATTACCACGGGACTTCGTTACTTCTCTTTCTGGCAGCTCATGCTGGATATTGGCGTCTTGCTGCACATGTCGGTCATTGGCTTGAGATACTATCATCACAGCATCTCGAACTTCACCAAGACCTTTGCAACAGATGCTCGGCCCAAAAGGGGACCACACCAGCCGACCCCGCATCAGTAGAAACTAAGGATGGTTGGCTGAATTCCCGATATCATTGTGGTGTTTGTTGTTTTGCCCTCAGATTTGCAAAGTCTGGGAACCTCAAAATCTACTGACCTAGACATGTCGCATGTCCACAAATCAGCAGAATTGGTTCCTCCAACTCATCCGATTTTCTGGCCTCACCATCTCCATTGACGAAGCCCCAAGACCAATATGGTGTTGCTCCTCTAGCCCCATTGCTGGCCATTTTTTCCCGGCCTTCAGGATTGCTTCAACCTATTTGAAGTAAACGACTGTCAGGAGGGAAAGTGGTGATTTCCCCCCCGTATCCATCCAATTTTTTCCAGAGATCTCTGGGGGTCTTCCGGACGTGGATCCTTGGTGCACCGCAAGCTTCGCAAGGACTTGGACTCCACGTTGGCTCTAGACCTGCCCAGTTTCGAGAACGAGGCGGTGGCATGGAGCAATTTTCTGCTGGCCAGTTGCTTCATGATGGTCTTCCTCTTTGGGGGACTGGTCCAATACCTTAGCCCCCTGGATGATCTGGAGGGGGATGTGGCGATGTGGATGGCTGGTTGGGTGATGTATGTTGGGTGCTTTTTTGAAAGATTTTAGATGTTGAAATCCGCCTCAGGTGATCTCTTCCCACGCATCTCGGTCTTGGTGGACACTGTGAGCAGATCCATCACACCTGCCACCTGGAGCAGATGGCAGTTTTTTGGATGGCGTCAAAAATGAGATGTTGAAGAGTTGAAGATCATTCCTCAGTTCATCTCAGTTCCAATTCGAAAAATTCTCTTCACTTAAGTTCTATTTCAATCTATTTCAGTTTTGCTCAAATGGCAGATATAAAATCTTTGAAGATGGATCTAAGTGGAGGGCTGATGCAGAAAAATGTCTCTAGATCACCTGGATGTTGTTTTTTTGGTCACCGTGATGCTGATGTCAGTTGCAGTGTTTTTTCATACCCCGGCGATTCCCATTTTCCTTCTAACAATGCTGGTTAACAAGATGGTTAATGATGGTTAATGATGGTTAATAACGGTTAATAAGAATGGTTAATGCTGGTTAATAAGAATGGTTAATGCTGAACATTGAAGAAGCAACCACACAAAAGGGGAACGAACTCAAGGGTGAAATCGCCATTGATGTGAATGCGCTGGAAAAATCCCAATCAGCTCTTAGGCACACCCCAGTTGTAGCTATGGGTAGGATCCCACCATTCTTCAGGTCTTTTTCTTGGTCATCATCCTTTGCGACGTCTTCTTTGCCTTTGTCATCTGGTGCAATCTCTTGTTCGGCAAGACTGTGAGGGACTTCAGCAATATCCAGGCCTGGGCGGATCATGATGGGAAGAACCGTTTTGTTTTTGATATGACATCTGAATCAGCTTGATGTTTTTGGTGATTTGAACTTCATATATCTCCCCCAAAGGTGATTCTCAACCGTTCCAAGCTATCACTCAACACCGGTGAAGCTTGGCCCGGCCCCGGCGTTCCTTCGAGCATTCCTTGTCAGGTGACCGCCATCAGTTTGACGGAGATGTTGTTTGGTCGTTTGGACGTGGTGGAAGATCTGCGGTTGTCCTTTCCCATCACTGGCTTCTTTTTCTATCTGGTCTTCATGGTGCCCCGGCCATGCTTTTTTTTTTCCTGGGCCCTGGCGACTTTGCCTGGGCAAAAGATCTGCTTCACGGAGAAGCAGCTGTCAGTCGAGTCAAAATCTATATCATCTGCTTGGATCCAGGAGATTTTTGTGATTTTCAGTGCTTAACCAACACCCAAATGTTGGATGATTTTTGGGATTCCCCTGGAGGGTTGGTTGCCGCATCGCAGCAATCTGGTGAAATCGCAATTTTGCGTTGACATTTCGTGGCGTGGCCTACTAGGCCTACTACATCCCACCCCCCCAAAAAAGGGGGGTGAAACATCGGTGGTTTCCTCGCCAGGTATCACAACTTTGTTCTCCCGCCTTTGTTTGGCGAACTATCCGCATTTTTTTTCTGGATTTCTGGAGGTCTGGTTGGCTTTGGTGTATAGTTGCCCATGTTGCCCCCTCAAAAAAGATCAAAAAATAACAGGTTCTCTTCTTCTTCATCCTGCAGTACTTGAGTCGCGCCATCGTGCTGACCAGTTTCGACGACGCAACCCGCAGCTTTGAGGAGCGCCAGAGGACCAAGAAACTGCTGGCTGGCGATCAGCTGGCGTCCTTCTTCAAGCAACAGGTACCGTGCAGTGATCCCCTTGTTTGGGACCATGGCTTAATGGCCTTTTGATAGTCTTTTGATGGTATCTATATAACTTGATCATGTCGATAATGATGTATATCTGTATATATAATGTGTGAGAATGTATGGTTTGTGGGGGTACCGTGCATGACGGAACTGATCCTTGGGAACCAATGATTTCTAGTGGTGACCTGCAACATCGGATACTCGACTAAGAGAAGCCAAGCAGACACCCCACTGGCCATATCTAGAGTCTAGAGTTGGACGATTCACCATGTTAATCAATTGTTATACATTTTTTGGGTTTCAACGTTCCAGAGTCATATCTCAATGTTCCAGAATTGCTGCAGATGGGATAATTTTTCTTCTTGAAACCATGACTTACTCAAAGAATCCCTTAGGTCAGTCCATCAATCCATGAGAAAATCCATTGATCCTCATGGATCCATCTTTTTTAGGTCCATTCTTCATCGAATTCCTCCATGTTTGATGCTCTCCGAAGGTGGAAATCCCCAAACCTTTGGGGGCAATCCAGGTGGCCTGGGCCAAGAAGGTCCTGGGACTCAACTTTCGCGCCCGGGATCTGAAGACAGCAGGTGGGGATGGCCAGGGGCCGGGGGAAAACCGCAGAAATCCCCGTGGAAACAAATGGGAATGTACCCATGTTCAGACACTCCGAAATGATTTTTTTTTGGTAAAGTCATGGGGGTACCCCAAATCATCCGAGTGATGACCATGACTTGGTATTTTGGGATTTTTTAAACCCATGGTGACTGGGGGTACCCCCATTTCAGGAAACATCCGAATTAGTGATGTCATCTGATACTTTAAATGGTACACCAACAATAATCAACAGCCTAGGGGTGAATATGAGTCCAGGGTTGACATTAGCTATGGAAGCCATGGCCCGATTCTGGATGAATTACTTATTCATATGGTGATTTTCTATAGCTATGTTGAATTACCAGAGGGTGAAAAAAGAAAACAACAGAGAAAAAGAAGGCTTTCCTATCATTGAATCATGGTGGGACAACCACCATCAACAAAAAATACATTTTTTTTGATCATTTTTGACCGTTTTGATCATGGCACATCTAGATTGGAAAGTGGGGTGAGCTGTTGATCATGAGCTGATTTTAAGCATGTTGTTACTTTTGTTAGGGGCTCTTGATGGAGGAACACATGGTATCTCAACAAAAAGATTGGGTAATTGAAAGGGGGGCAATTCCTAGGTTGGCCATTTAAAATCCGAGCAGGTTCCACGGTTCCCTTCCCATGCCACAGGAGGAATGGAGCCGTATCCCACACAGAAGTGGGGGCTCATTCCCTTCACCGGCTTCTGTGCCTTGGCACAGCCAGGTAAAGTGAAGGTATCACGACCAGTCTGAGAAGCACTCCATACGGTCAAGTAACCGTAACCACTCAAAATTGAACTCTTTAGAATGGGAAGGACCAGTGAAAGACATTTCTGTCGTTTTCTATCCATCAGCTATTTTTGGAGGGCTGGAAACCAGCAGTGATCTTACTGGCTTCTCTCAGGAGCTAGGGGTATTTCCTATTGAATGGGGAGCCAGTTGGAGCTACGAATAGAGTTTCCCAAGAATATGATAGGTTTATTATGCTAAGTCTGATAATCCCTATTACTTCAGCTCAACTCGTATCCCAGGTGCCATCTATGTGATCTTTATCTCCATGGTTCTCTGGGTGCCTGAGGGGCACGATGTGGTGCAGTCCCTGACGGAAGCCTTGAAGAGACCCACCTTCAGCAAGGCCGAGCTGCAGAATTCTTGGTGCCTTGAACTCCACACTTCCGTTTCAATCTATAAATCCCAAGCCAATCATATTGAATCCCATTAAATCCACATGTTTGGTTCTTTCCAAATCCATCCATATATAAATAAGTAAATAAGATATGAAGATCCCACTTTCTCGACATTTTTTGCTTCAAAGTCCCAGCTTTTTCTATTGGATCCATGGCTGGAAGGTGAACCCCCTGTCGCGGGAGATCGACCTCGACATGGATTTTGATCGCATTGAAACGCGGGAGGACGTGCTTCGCTGGCTGGCCGTGTCCTTCTCCAAGGACGCGCCAGGGGGGTGGGTGCCAATGGCAAATGCTGGATGGGTGGGGGGTGGATCTATGAAAAAAACGCAGTTTCCAGATCTTTAAAAAAGTTTCAAACAACACATGTTCTTTCGTTTTCTGATTCGATTTTGTTGGATTTTTGGACATAAGTTACTTCATAAGTTCATGAATTGATGTCCTGCGACATTATTTGATGGATTTGATGTGAGGCGAGGACATCAATTCTAGGCGCACTTGAGCCATGCGGATCCTCTCCTCCTGCAGCTGGCATCCAATGACCACGGATCCCTGGGGTTGTTTTGACCCTTGAAGAAGGGGCTTCTGTTCGCTTCTCTTGTAATAGTATAATATAACATTTTTTTTTTAAAAAAATATCATATGATACTCCTGGTTGTAGTTGCTCGTAGTTGGATCTCCATTTTACGCAGCCGACAGAATCTGTTGCATTTGTTGCTGAAACCATCGCTGAAACCATTCGCGCGACCTCTGAAGCCAGGCCCTCTACAATTCCTCAAGCAGCGACAATGTCTTGGGGAACTACGCAGCTTCACCTCAGTACAAGCAGGTGGACCGTGCAGCGGTGGGAAGTCAGTTGTTGGGACCCCCTCACTTGCACCATGTGGCCAGCTCCTAGGTGATTTTCAGTGTGTGACAAGATTGGGATCGTTTTCACCAGTTTCACCAGACTGATTTCATCACTAAGTGCCAGTTGGAGACACATGGCCAGGTGTCAATGGCAGCCCCACCTAGGTGCCCTAGGATGTTTTGTTCAACGTGCAATGATCCAGGTCTGCTTCAGAACCAAGCTCCCGTGTCTTGCTCGGGTTGGTATTCCACACATCATTCTCCATTCACCATCATCGAGTCATGTTGGATCTTAGGTCATTCATTTTATTTGCAATAAAATTACCCCGGAAATGTCATAACAACCCCCTCCATTGATCCATCTAGGCCGCCATTGCCGCCTCCAAAGGTGGTCATCAACGACTGGAACATTTTGCTGGGCCAACGCCCCGTCCGCCTCTCCTTACAGTACGACCACATCGTTCCGGTGTCCAACCTGTCGGTGACGGCGCGACTGCCGGTGGCGCAACTGATTCGCGGCGACAGCCTGGTGAAGGAGCGGACGGAGCTGAAGGATCTACGGGCGCAGGACGGGGGAGGATGGCCGAACTGGGGGGAAATGCACGGTGGAGTTGGGTTTTTGATAAGAAGATGATAACTTGAGGATTTCAGGGGAGTTCATGGGTTAAAACGTCTATGAGTTAGGGTTTTCGTCCAAGCAATGACCATCATAGGGAATCGCAAGAGAGGAACCATGTCCATTGGCCAAGGTAATATTGTCAGAGGCTTATGATGCGACAGGCAGATTTGATAATCTCACCAAAAATGAGGGGTTGTAGGTGGAATCATCCGAAACTATGCAAACCTTTTCCAGTTTGTGGAATTTTATCACTTGCGCGCATGCGTGGGGAACCAGAAAGACACGCAGCAATGTGTAAGGGCCTCACTGAGTGAGGTTTCTTGATCCTGTTCTTTTTGACGACTCAATTCTCTCAAATAGGGATTCGAAAATTCGGAGAGCTCCCAGACTTGTAGATTTTTCCAGAGCTCGACACCGCAGCTGGTCACCCAGGAGGTGTTGCAGAAGTACTGTGGCAATTACACTGAGGAGATGGGCTTCAGCTGTATGTTGAGCGTGGATCCTGAGGTCGGGTCGGTGGATTTTCCAATGCTGAACACCTCATCGTCCACTTCTCCTCCAAAATTCTTGAAGGACTTTTTCTGAATCATTTGAATCCAACATGTCTGGGATATGATGTATATAATATATATACGTAGTACTAGTATATATATATATTATTGTATGTATATGATTCAAATTTCACTCCCACTCTTCCATCTCCTGCCTTATCCTGCCCATTTTCCTTACTGTAGTTCCGCAAACAGGTCCACCTTTCACACTTCAACATTACTGGCTTTTCCAACATCTGTTTGTGTGTATGTGTGTTCAACGATCGATTTTGTTTTCACGGAAGCTAGCTTCTGCTAGCTGAAGTCCCTCTTGCTTTAGCAAGGTATTGGGGGCTGGAATCTCCAATCGCATGAACTTCAGGATGATTGTGTTTTCATGCAAAGCTTGCTGCGAAGCTTTCGTCCCTTACCCCTGGGCATCCCAAGCATCTTGGGATTGATCCCCAGTAGATCAACATCCATATGAGCTACAGCCAAAATCTACCGTAATGGAAAGTCCTATTCGAGACATCGTTATTTATTTTTTGGACATTGAGCTGGGGCTTGGAAAACGACAATACACTCTTCAAAAAACGATAACATTTGCCATATTCCCAAAACCTGAAAAACGATAATACACTCTTCAAAAATTGACTTGGAGCTATATACTAAATATTGACCGTGGCCCATATACATATATATATACATATACATATATATATACACATACATACACATGTACATATACATATACATATACATATACACATACACATACACATACGTATACATATACGTATACGCATACATACACACACACATACATACACACATACACACACATATACAAATACATACACACATACAGACACCCATACACACACTCATACACACACATACTGTACATAGATAGAAAGATGGATGGATGGATGGATGGATGGATCGATGGATCGATACATATAAACATAGGTACATAGACACATAGATTACATTACATTACATTACATTACATTACATGCATATCTACATATCTACATACATAAACGCACACATGCATATACACATACACTTACACATACCCACCATACACATACATACATGCATGCATGCATGCATAAATCACATCATATCACATTACTTCACTTCACCTCACCTCACCCTAACTCACCTCACCTCACCTCACGTCACGTCACGTCACAGTCAGGTTACGTCGTGCGTAGGTACATATATGTACACATATACTACCATAATATATATTGTATGTGTATATATATATATATACATGTGCAGTATATACATCCCCATCATATCTCCAATTTTCATGTACCCAACAATGCTCGTCCATCATCATCCTTCAGAGGTGACGATACCGGCGCTTCTGGACATGCGCTTGAAAGGCATTGCTACCAACCAGACCTCTAAGATGACCTTAGACTTCGTGTCCTACAATGGAAACATCGACATGTTCTTCTATGTTTGCATCAATTTCGATTTCACCACCAGTGGCTGGGACATTGTTTGCTGGAATTCGTCTTTGGGATTGTGAGAAAACAACGATACTTGTAGGGGATTGTTTTGAAGCTGAGCTTCTTCGAAGATTTTGGCTGGAATTTTAATCTCTTGGGTCGAGGATGAAGAAATGGTTTGTTCTTTCGAGTTGGCATCCTCTTTCCAAGATCCGTTTGTTTTCCCGTGCAACTTGTGTCAGATAGATCATCCCCTTTGATGATTTATCAGGTGGCTACATTGACAAGGAGATCAAGATCTTCCCCATTAAGCTGCCGGATATGACCAGTGCATTCTTCCCCATCCGCCTAATCCTGGAGATTTTGATTATCGCCTTCACCGTCGGCCGTTTGGCCAAGTGCATGCGAGCCGTCTACTGCGTCCTGCTGGCCGGCATCAAGAAGCTGGGTCTTGGGCTTTCAGCATGTTGTTGGAGTATTTTTTTCCCCCAAAAAAGGCTGGGGAAGCCGGAAGCCAGAGCCTGAAATCTACCAGGTGATACCCTCTGGTAATTTAACATAGCTATTGAAAATGACCATAGAAATAGTGGATTTTCCCATTAAAAATGGTGGATCTTTCCATAGCTATGTTAGTTTACCAGAGGGTATAACCACCATTTTCCTATGGTTTTCCTATGATTTTCCCATAAAACCACCACGTGGTAGATGATGGATGATGATGGTGGAATTTGCAGACCCTTTGTTTTGGAAAACCAGGGCGCCCAAACCGACCAGGAAAGGCAAGGCAGGCACCTTCGGGCATCGGCTCTTTGTTGCCTTTCAGGTGCAGCTGAATGAGGAATGATGGGGGAAAAACATGATCCATTTATAGATTGCAATGGGATTTCTTAGCATATGAAAAATATGGGGAACCCATGAGGAACCCAAACATCATCCAACATTCTCCAAAATTGGTCATTTTTTTTTAGATTACCGTATCCAATGGTTTTGGGTACCCCGATTTGAGAACCACCCAAATATAGGAAACCAAAACAGTTTCGGGAATTTGGAGGTCTTCAATTTTCAGGAAGAATTGACATTGTTTTTTTTTTGTTTTTTTGTTGCAGGGGGCTAACCTTATTTGCCGACGCGTTTATATCTTCACTTCCTACAGCAGATGATTTCAATCTGTTTTAACTATGATGATTTGATGATTGTAAAACTCAATTGATCGATTGAGAAACAGATGATTTCAGCTTTCTCAAAGGATCCAAAGGATTCGGCGACAAGATCTAAAGATCCGCACGCAACATGATATAGGTCCGCACCTACACAGTCCACACAGATTGGCTGTAATCACTGCGGTTCTTTCCCTTCGACTCACAGGGGATGTGGGCCAAGAAAGCATCAAAAAACAGTGACCGACTTGACTTGCGGGCATCCTAATGGTCAATCCCGATTGGATGCTTATTTCAAACTACGTCCACTTTTTTTCTTCGTTGCATCCCCAAGCTTTGGTCGCTGAAATCCTAGTCCTAGTCTCCTGCGTGGCAATTGATGAGAATTTTGGGTTCTAACCCCAGCTGCAAAGCGGAGTCTTGCAACCTGAGCACGTTTTTACATGTTTTTACACGTTTTTACCGTTTCTGTTGATGCTATTCCATGCCCTTGATTTTGATATACGGGGGTATTTGATCTTGGGGGAGTACAGCATAATATGATGAAATCACATAATATGGAAGATGCATGATATCATATATAGAAAATGCATCTTCATAAAATCACCCATATCTTGCTAATGGTGACTGCCAGGTCTTAGTCTTCCACATCGTGCAGCATCCCTTCATCGTCTTCGACTTCCTGAGCGGTATCAGCACTGTGCTGACGTTAGTCATGTGGCATCTTGGATGGCAAGGGCAAAAACATCCCCGGGGGTCGCCTCGATCGGTACAGATCTATGTGCAGTATCTATCTATTAGGTATATCTTATGTATGTGTTATATATATACAATGTACACATTGTGCATATATGATGTGTACATGATGCATATATATATATGATATATATATATATGACACATATGTATATATATACATAGCGTGTATTGTGTATATATAATGTATATATTATTCACATTAATTAATACAGAGATTTATTGTACGTGTATGCATATATATATATGGCTGCTTGAAGGGTGATGGAAACTTTGGCATCGTTCGGTTTCCGGGCCGTAAAATGAAGGTAGCGGTAAGCACTCTAAAATCTCCTCATTTCAGCTTCATAGATTCCTAAGAATAAGATCGTTTCGCCCAGATTCATGCTGATGCCTTAGGTACTCTTTCGTTCTCTTAGACCTAACGCAGAGCTTCTACTTCGCCGAGAGCCCAGAAGCTCGGCGCAGGTGCCTGAAAAGAGGGGAACCCCTTCAATTGGTGATCATCATGTTGAGCCTTCAACTTGCCGTGAATTGGACAGTAGTGCCTTAACTTTTGGAAAAAACCAACCTGAACGCCTGAAACCAAGGAATGGACTCCAGCCCAATGCGCGGAAACGGGGCTCTGTAGCGACTACACGGCCATCTCCAAGTTTGCACAGGCCGGCCAGGTTTTTTCCGCCTCTTGGCCAGGGGATCCATTTGAAGTTGCTGCAAGATGCTGCAACAAATCACAAGAAAAACAGCCTGAAAAAAAGGCTATTCCGCTGTTCCATGTAGATTTTCAGGTGATAACCATGTGATAACATGTGATAACCATGTGAAACTTCGGATGGGATCCCACCCCGATCCGCCAGGCCAGTCAACAGATGCGCTTCTTCACCCAGGTCCGGAGAGTGCCGCGATGCATGGGGATGGATCCGACATTTTTCACACCGACATGCCCAAAATGAGACCTGACCGACATGAAACACGAAGCTCATTAAGACCTGCGCTAGGAAAAATATGGAAAAAAACTTTTTTCTGGAGAAAAGATGAGAAAAGGCTAGTGGAGAAGCCTATTTGACCAATCTGCCGCGACTGCAGATCTGCGCTGCAAACACAATCTTTCTCTTCTTGTGCTACCAGAAGCTGAGTGGCAAATGGTGCATCAAAAGCCGGATGCCCCCTCGAATTCCCTTTCTTTAAAGTAGGCCAACGATTTGGGGTTTGCGGGGACTTTCAGACCTAGGAGTGCTCTCCCTTGCCCTTTGGCCGCGTATCCGATCGTACGAGGGAAACTGGAGTTAAACCCCCAGTTCTGATTGGCGCTTCGTCATGTTGTACAGTAGTGGCAGTTTGTGGTGGGAAAGCCAGCAATTTTCGAGGTTCCACACTTCCAAGAAGTCACCACTGGTTTCTACCACTGTTTCCACATCATTTGGACGATGTTCCTTAGTTCCTTTCTATCCGAAATGGCTATTCTTGGCTTCACTATTCATTTATAAAAAATCATCGTGAAAACTCGCATTCGCCACGGGCGAGGAAGTACTTGTCTGCCTTTCCGACTGGTCGAGTGATTGCACGTGCCATGCTGAATGGTTTGGCGGATATCCTGTGCTTCTTTGTGGTCATGGTCGTCCTGTTGTTGGGGTACGTGGCCATGGGGCACACCATCTTCGGCACCATCATGGTGGACTTTTCCACCCTGGGATATTCTGTGGCCTGGAAGATGCTGATTTGTGCATGGATTGGACGTGTTTGAACACAGGGTAACAAGACAGGTCACATCTATATTTTCGCAGTCCATTCAACTATGCGATTTTGCCAGTTTTTTCCAGCACATTTTGCTCCCACTTTTTCCAATTCCAAGGGATTCGAAAAGCGCAACCCAGGTGATTACCTGCTTCCAGATGTTCCTGGGAACCTTCCGAAGCTTCGCAGAGATGCGACAGGCCAATAGTATTGCCTACTACTTCTATTGGTACACCTACATGGTGCTCTTCAGTCACTTGAATCATACTTGAGATATCTGTTGAGATCTGAGCTTGTTTTGATCCAAATACTGAGAGCCCCTGAAGCCTTCAATCGTTTGGAACCTCATTTTCATTCATTGTCCTTATTCCGATTGTGACTGTACACTATTGTTGGACAGGCCCGTGTCTTTTTTATCCCTGGTGTATAGGGCTGCTGAGTTTCACACCAGAATCAAAAGATGTGTTCAATTGGATGAGGGCTGAAAAAGCAAACACGGTCTAAAGTCTAAACAAGCGTAAACACGGGAGCTTCCGGAACCAGAACTGGTTTTCTCTTGGGCCATTGCGGGATCCTAAGAACCAGCGTGGGACACTCCAGCTCCTTGACTAACGAGTCCGAATCTAACCAGTTTTTCCCGAGCCGACCTTTCCCCTGAACGAACAACTTGGAAAAAAAATCAGCGACAGCCCTGAGAATCGCCCCTTCAACTGTACCCACAACTTTATTTTGTAAGGCTGAAGCATGCTGAAATGAACATGAACATACATGAACAACAACATCTGAACATTCATTCTGAACTCTGACATCTAACAGTCCCTAACAAAGCCAAAAAAGACTTTCAACATCTTTCAACATCAGCACAGGATATGTCTTGGTGAACATGTTCTTCGCTATCATTGCCAAGCACTTCCAGAAGGAAGACAAGGCAGTGGAGGAGCAGCGCTTGGAACGCGCGGCGCAGCAGGCGCAGCAGGCGCAGCAGGTACCTGGAGAAAGCCAGAGCATGCTGGAGCAGATTAAGGCGCGCAAACGGGGGCGTGGGATGAAACCGATGGGGTTAAGCGGGTTAACCATGCAGCAACCAAAATGTGTGTGTGTATGTCAAGGTACACAATATGTGTGTATGTACAATACAATAATAATATATATATATATATTGCCAATATAGATAAATCAAATAAACAATATTAATATATAATATATAGTATAAACATAATATAATATATAATTTAATATATGATATATAATATAATATAAAATATAATATATATATAATATGATATATAAAATATATTATATAAAACCATAATATATAAAAATACTATATATATATAGAATCATATAATATATATATATATATATATGATGAAATAAAATATAATATATATGATATAATTTATAATATATGATATAATTTATAATATATGATATAATTTATAATATATGATATATGATATATATATAGGAGGGATATATATTTTTCATGGTTTGCACGGGTTTGCACTGGATCAGCCTTCCATAAATGGAATTGGTCCAATTAATCGTTCAGAAAAAATGAAACGGTCGGAAACGGTCGGACACAGTCGGAAACGGTCGGAAACGGTCGGAAACATGATCAGGCCAAACCTTGTTCAACCCGCATTTCTTTTAAATAAGCATTTCCGCGCAAAGCCGTTTTTTTTTTGAAGGTCCAAAGGTGTCCAAGGGGAAACGGTTGGAAACAGTCGGAGATCGCATTCCGTTTCCGACCGTTTCATGTTTTCTGAACGATTAATTGGACCAATTCCATTTATTGAAGGCTGATCCAGTGCAAACCCGTGCAAACCATGACGCTTCAGTTTTTTGGCGCCACCCTTGTGCGCGTACACTGCACCAAATATTGCGTCTTGACCTTGATATCCAATATTCCCTAAAAATCACAAAATCCCAGGAGCTCGTGAAATTTAATATATATTTTTTTGTTTTTTTTCTCGGCTTTCTTTTGTTTTTCCAGCCTGGGGCTTTTGTGGCTTTTGTGGCTTTACCATGCTTTGCCTATCTATCTATTTATCTGTCTAATCTAACCTAATCTAATCTAATCTTATCTAATCTGATCTGACTTTATCTTCTTTTATCTTATCTTATCTATCCAATCTATCTAAAGAATCTATCTAAAGTATCTATCTGAAGTAACTATCTAAAGTATCTATCTATCTAACGTATCTATCTATAGTATCTATCTATCTAAAGTAGCTATTTATCTAAAGTATCTATCTATCTACTGTATCTATCTATCTAAAGTATATGTCTATCTAAAGTATCTATCTATCTAACGTATAAAACTATCTAAAGTATCTATCTATATATCTAAAGTATCTATCTAACATATCTATCTATCTATCTATCTATCAATCTATCTATCTATCTATCTATCTAAAGTATCTAAAGTATCTAAAGTATCTATCTAACATATCTATCTATCTATCTATCTATCTACCTATCTACCTATCTACCTATCTACCTATCTACCTATCTATCTATCTATCTATCTACGTATCTACGTATCTACCTTCCTACCTACCTACGTACCTACCTACCTACCTACCTACCTACCTACCTATATATCTATCTTTTTACACACACACACACCTTGTATCCCCACATGTACCTTAATCCAACCCTCAACATACTTTAAATAGTCCCTAAACCAACCCTAAATAATCGTAAATAACACAAAATAACCCTAAATAAACACTAAACCAATCCTAAATAAACCCTAAACCAACCCTAAATAACCCTGAGTAAACCCTAAACCAACACTAAATAAACCTTAAACCAACCCTAAACCAATCCTAAATAAACCCTAATCCCGCCAGCACTATGATAGCATCCAATGCCACTATTTAGACCCAACAGGGTTGTGCTTCAACCTATATTCTACATGTTCACCAGGTGCATGTTATGCAAGGTAAAATTGATTGAAACCATAGAAAATTCAATTGTAACCATGGAAAACTTAATGAACACTATGGAAAAATCATTGAACACTTTGGGTAAATCAATGGCGCACCGGCGCAGCGGCGCAAGTGGAACCTAACAACGGCGCAGCGGCGCAGTAACAACAGCGCAGCGGAGCAGCAGCACACTGGCGCAAGCGAAGCCTAACAACAGCGCAGCGGCGCAACCGCAACCAACGCACAAGCACATGCAGCGGCGCAGTAGCAGAGAAAGCATAGCGCGCACGTACCGACTGGAGCGGCGCAGCGGCGCAGCAGCGCAGCGGCGCAAAGCAGTTTAAGGACATACATTGCACCCACGCTGCAACGAACACAATGGAAAAATCGAGTAAAACCATGGAAAAATCGATGAACAGTGCAAATGGCACATTTTAATCTGCACCCATATATATATATATAATATGATATAATATATATATAACATGATATAATATATATATAATATGATAATATATATAATTAATATAATATATATATATATATAATATGATATATAATAATATATATATATATATCTAATATATAATATATAATATATAATATATAAGATATTATATATAATATATAGTATATAATATATAATATATAATATAATATATATATATAATGTGCAATATATATAATACATAATACAGAATGCATTATACATTTTACATATAATATAATATAATATGAAATGATATAATATATATAATAATGCATTTTTAATATAATATATATATGCTAATATATATGCAAATATATAAGATATAGAATATATGAATATATATATAATAAAAGATATAATATATAATATATAATGTATAATATATAATATATAATATATAATATATAATATAGAATATAGAATATAGAATATAGAATATAATATATAATACATAATAAATATAATGTACTATTTAATTTATAACATATAATATATATAATATATGATATATATAATAATAGTAGTAATAATAATAGTAATAATAATATATATATATCTAATATAATATATGTTATACTTTTTACATATTAATATAATATATATAATAATATATAATATAATATATATTTTTTAATCTGTATAATATAATTTGTTTTATGTATGATAAATAATATATAATATATAAGCTATGATATAAAATGTATAATTTATAATATGTAATATATAATATATAATATATAATGTATAATATGTAATATATAATATATAATATATAATATATAATATAGAATATAGAATATAGAATATGTAATATATAATATATACTGTATAATATATAGTATAATATAATATATAATCTATAATATGATATATGATAGATAATATATAATATTTAATATATAATATATCATATATGATATATGATATATAATATAATATAATATAATAAAATATAATATAATATAATATAATATACATTAAATAATATATGATATATAATATATACCATATATAATATATACGCTATATAAATATATACAATGCATAAATTTATACAGTATACAATTATATAATATATTATATATACAATATGGGAATATATGCAATATATGCAAAATATCAATATATACAATATATACAATATATACAATATATACAATATATACAATATATACAATATATACAATATATACAATATATACAATATATACAATATATACAATATATATATATATATATCAATATATAAAATATATATCAATATATAAAATATATACAATAGATACAATATATACAATATATACAATAGATACAGTATATACAATATATACAATAGATACAATATATACAATATATAGAATATATAGAATATATATAATATATAGAATATATAGAATATATAGAATATAGAATATATAGAATATATAATATATACACTATATAATTATATAATATCTAGTATATGACATAATACATATATATATAAGATACTAAATATTATATATTTATATATTGTATATATTTATATATGTTAAATAACTCTATAGGTGGCCTGAAAACAGTATGACGCCCCCACCTGGGGAGACTGACTAACAAGGGGTTTCCCGCCATTCGTTGATCATTCCTATGGCATTGTGGGTCGCCGCAGCATTTTTTGTCTACATTTTCGGAGAAAGCCGTTTATGACTGTTTCATCCAATGTAGTTTCAATAATGATAATATATATATAATTATATATGTATATATACATATATATATATGTATGTATAAATATAAATATAGATATACATATAATTATAAATAAATATATATATATATATGTATTTGTATAGACATGTATATTCATTTTGTTTCGCAAAACCATCAATTGGGACCATCTGGGTAACCCCCTACTTGTTGAAACCAGGTGGCGCTCAAGACCTTGCTTGGCATGTGGACTCCGGCTTCGCAGGCCACTGGGCTGCCAATGGGGGCAGCAACATTGGGATAAAACGAATCATGGCTACAACAAAATGGGTACCCTCTGGTATTTTAACGTAGCTATTGAAAATGACCATTAATAGTGGATTTTCCCCTTAAAAATGGTGATTTTCCATAGCTATGTTAGTTTACCAGAGGGTATGATGTGTGTTTTCTTGTTTGTTTGTCATCACATCCTCAAATCAACACCGTTGAATACTAAAATCGAAGGGACCCAAAAATGAATAGATCCAAAACTGGAGTTCTAGGGTACTATTTAAGGGATTGTGAGGATTCATATGAGATATTATGGGGATTTTTTCTGCCAACAGTTCAGGGTCTCTCTGAAAATGGGGAAGACCTCAACATATCGAGCAGTTTTGGGATTGGTTGGTTGCCTTGTTTTTCGCTCTACTTCCCAGATCCAACAGCTTTTTCTTGGTCCAAACCTCAGTTTGATTGTCAAAGTGTCAAATTCATGGGTGAATCCCAAATGGTGTTGCTTAAAGCGCCCCAAATTTCTTCGAAATCAACTCATTCAACTCCGGTCCGAGATCGGTGGCATGGCATCGGCAGGATCCCAACGAAAAGGCCTTGGAGGAAGATCCCGATGCACCGCTGGAGAACTTCGAGGATTTGGACCCAGTGGCCTCGCCCAAATCCCCGAAGCGATTGGACGCGTCACAGTCGGACGTGTCCATGGACACCACCGAGGATGGGATGGGACCGGATTCCGGATGATGGGATATTTGGAGGAGGTTTCACCAAACGGGAAAAAAGAACATCGGATGCAAAACTCGACGTTTTTTGCGGATGGCTGAATCACCAGAGGTGGACTCGATTGAACAGGTGGGTCCCACATCCCAAATGTGTTAAAAACTTGACTTCCAAATCCACGACCCCGGGATCAAGTTCAGAAACCATTGCCAGCTCACTTTTTGCTGTGCAAGTTTTTTGCATGTGAACGCAAAACCTCAAACATCAACAGCACAAGATTGATGAAATTGAGACCTGAATTAAGCGCACTTTGGTGTCCCACATACTTTCAGATGCAGCCAAATCCTTTCTTCAAACGATGGCCTGCCTGCTTCGATAGAAATACAGTGAAATGCACCAGTTGCCTCATCCTATTCTACCCCCAAGGTTCAGACATCAGTCTTTTAGCAGCTGAAGCACACTGAAGCACGAGGTTTTAAAAGGTTTCAACATTTTTTTTTGCCATTCCTAATTGCAATGATTGGGGGGTTTGGGACACCAGATGGACGACAGCATCGCTGACGACTTGATGGAGCCCAACTGGAGATTCCTGCCTGATGAAACCAGGCGAAGGGGCCATAAAAACCCATTCAGGGCGATCCAGATCCGTTTTGGCACGGAATGCAATGGGCGTTTTTGGCATTTTGATGCATTTTGGCATTTTGGTGTAGCATGGTGTAGCTTAATCTTAATGTGGTATAGCCGCATAGCCTAGAATAAACCATCCCCAGATCACCAACTTTGGGTTTATGAAATTGGCTATACCGACTATAGCCCTAGACATGGGATGATGTAAAACATGACTCCGCAGTCATGGTTGGTTATGGGATGGTTCATGATTGCGTCAACAGGACCTGCTGCCACTGCTCCTTTTTTGGTCAATCACTTGGATACATTGACAACATCCCAAAAAGTAAATAGGAATATGTGGCTATAAATTACCATTACAGTAAATAAGATCTGATGCCTTTGCATCAGCAAAATTGGCCTATGATGCAGCTAATCAGGAAAACGTATAGGAAGCAAAGAGCAAAACAGACGGAAGTTGGAGAACATCGCTCGGATCAAATTGCGGCAAACTGGAATTTGTGTTCCAGGGCAGTCATTCAGTAGGGGGAGTCTCTCCACTGATCAGAGATGAGTGTTCTTTCTTGCTCAGGGCAGGTTGAAAATGCAGAGGCATTCGCTGAATAAACCATGGTCCTTTGCCCCAAAGTTCCTGTTGCTTCGGGTGGGGATTGACCCTTCCAATGCATATAAACTCCCAAAATGGTTCGCATGTTAAAAAAAAACGCAAACGCACGAGCATTCTGGACTCAATGTTTTATGGGTCTTGCCTTAAGACCTTCCTTCAGTGGAATCCAACTAAACTCATCCCTTCTGAGTCAACTTGCCATTCAGACAATTTATGGGATTTTGGGATACCCATGGATACCATATTTTCAGACACCCCCGTAGAACCCGTCGTTTCTCCGCAAGCCCCAAGGGAGGTCTCCGTTGGGTTTCGGTATTTTGCATCCCAGCCAGACTTTTCGGCCAGACTGTGGGCGGTGGACACGGCCAAAGAGATCTTCCGTTTCATTCACGAGAAGAGTCGACTGCGAGAGGAATTAGAAAAGCACAACAAGGAGCTCTTGCTGATCACAATCCATAACGATCCATAACGTGTTGTTGCTGCGGGCCAGATTTTTTGGGTGTATGGTGAAAAGATTAGGAACCCCGAAATCAGCCCAACAGACTCCTAACATATAAAACAGAAACAGATAAAACAGTGGGGGCTTGGGGACGCTTGGAGTCAGCTTTGAACATACCCTCATGGTAAATCTGAACATGCCAGCCTTTTACACGGGAAGAACATGTAAACCATTGATCGGGAGGTTTCACTTTGAATGAAACGGGAAGCCAACAACACTAGCAGTCACTAGCATTCATTTTGTTCAAGGGTTAGCAGCTGAAGAGAGATTCATCAGTACAGGTTCAAAAAGAGTTGCCGATTCCCAATGTCATTGGATTCATTAGCATATTATACAATTGCTTGATAAGTATGGTAGATACCGTAGATAGGTAGAATGAATCGATTATGATTCACATTAGATCATATTATATTATTACCTGCAGATAATGAGATAGATGAGGTTAGAGTAGATTAGATGAGAGGCGATTAGAGTACTGTAGATTAGATGAGAATAATAGAATAGATGAGATAAATAAGAAGATAAGATAGGTTACTAAGGTTACGATAGGACAAGATGAGATGATCAGCATGACCTCCTCGTCCGCCTCAAGATGCGATCCAGTCTGGCCATCCTGGAGCTTCAGGAGCAGTTCGATATCGATCATGTGCAGGAGGAAGCAGAGACCGCCATCCAGGAAAAGGCCTTTGAGCTGGGGAAGAAGGCCGAAAAGGTCACTGGACTCACTGAAAAATCGCTGGGAGAGGCCACGATCAGGGGGATCTCTGTACATGGAACCACGAAAGGCCCCACGAAAAAGTGTAGATCCCTATGAACATGGCCATATCTGGCGGATCATTTCTCATTCTCAGACAAGCCCAACGCATTTTGTTGCTAATGCATCCCATATGATATCCCATAATCTATCCCATATGATCTCCAATATTATGTCCCAAACTACATCCCAACTATATCCCTATGGTGTTTTTTCTGATCACATTTTCAGACGCGCCCGTATGTTATTCGCCATATTGCTGTTTATACCCGATTATATTCCCAGTGTTTTTGGTCATTTCGGGGTACAATCCCCCAAGTAACCCAAATCTTTGGTTGATATAAATCACCATTGTGGGTGGTTGAACCCCAAGTTTGGCTTAAGTTAAAGCACTTTAATAAAATGGCTTGTTGGAAAAATTATGTTTCAGATTTTTTTCATCGTTAAAAAATAGATCAGTAGCCAATCCTTGGGACCTAAATTTTGGTGAAATCCCTAAGGTGAAGATGGACCTCAGTAGCCGGGAGCTGCGGTCTCTGAAGGCGGTGCACCGAGATCAGGATCGACTGCACGGATTTTGGGGGATTTTTCATGAGGAAAAACAACTCGGTTTTAAACCGGTGATGGCAACATTGGATTTCACCCAGAAATTTCACCCAGGAAAAAAATTGGGTGATTTTGTGCGGATTTTGGTTGCCATGATTTCTGAGGATTCCATGATTAAGATGCTGATTTCGACAGAAATCTCGGGATTTCACCCAAATTCCGGGGGATTTCACCATGAAAGATGGGGAACTTGACCATCACATGGCGTGGTTTCGATTGAAGTAAACATGGCAATCAGCTGAGTGCCAAATGGCATGGCTGCACTAGACTATATATATATATAATCACATATATTATATGATTAGATATGATAAATATAGGTAAACCAACTGGTGCGGTGGGTTGATGTGGTTATGGGTCAGGTCATTTGGGCTGCATTGCGGACCCAGAAAACCATCCAGAAATGGCTGATTGATCACCATCAAACAGTTGCCATTTTGTTGAAGAAATGCCTAGGGTATCTATGGCTATAAATGACCAAGAATCTGGGACGAAACAATGAGATTCTTTGCCAATGGAAGATTTATCACTGATAAACGTGGCAAATCATACTGATTTATCGTTCTTTTTTTGCCTACCCAATGTTCGAAAACTTTTTTTTGGTGGGATTCAGCTGCTGCGTCCACCACAGTCCCTTCAGGAGAGCCTGGCTTGGTACATCATGAAGCGGGAAACGGAGCTGAAAAAACTGGAGGACGGGTGACAGGGGAACGGTGGAGCACCGAAGATGCACAGTAAGACACAGTTGCACTCCTGTCAGAAAATAGGGTACCTCATCCATTGGACAATCCCCATTTTTCTATTCAATAGTTCATTTTGAGGTATTCCCCATTTTTTAGACAAACCAACCTGTCTGCGAGGAAGCGAGATCAGTGAAAATGGACAGATACGAGAAGATGGTCAACGCAACCCAGCTGCTAGTGGCATCAGATGAAAGCCAGCCTGGGCCCAGCAGCTAGCACTGGCAAGAAACATGCCTTCGCAACACTTGGCCATGGCTCAAAGTGCTCATAGTTAAGTTAAGCCGTTTACAAGATTGGAAAGGTAAAACAAGATGATGATTTCATATGGTTGCTACGGGGGATCTGAACCTGGACCTCCATTATTTTTGAGTCATGCCCTTTTCATACCTTGCGGGCTGCACGACGTTTCCAGCCCCTCTGCATGGGTCAGAACCCTAATATTCTTGGTGCTTGGCCATGCCATTGAAGACTCTGTTGTCTTGATTGTATTGATTCTAGGATCCTTTGGAATTTCTTGGATATAACTGTAGGGTCTTGAACCACCAAAATCGCGGCACTTTAGCTACCTTCAAGATGAAATGTGCTCTTGCAAGGTTTCTCTCCAGTCTCACCAGTCTCACTGCTCCACCGATGGTGCTGCACAGGTCAAAAGGCTGACCAAACTTGATATGACAGGGCTTTTAGAAGTGAGGAGCCAACCACGGGTCTATATTCTACAAACATGGGTTTGAAACTGACAGAAATGGTGAATAAAACCGTGATACACAAGATGTCAATGAGGTTACAGCGGAACGCATAGGAATTGATTGGAATAATGGGGCCCTACTTGTATGCGGTCAAGGCCCGTAATTGTAGGGGAACTCACTGATAACGCCAAGAAATTCTGTTTGGTTGCTAAGATGATGCTCCGTTGGATAATTTCATATAATTTCCTATCATTTTGCCAAGTACAAGTCAATCCTGACTTTTCTCACATCGATTTTCATTCCGATTTAGACTAGACGAGCGGCCATCGTGTGGTATGTTCCCTGGGCCATCCGGGCCTCTCGATGAGGCTCTCGGCTTTGAGGGGAGAAGCTTTAGAGGCGATGGCGATGCCATGAGTTGAGACCCGGGTCGAATGGATTTGAAGCGACTGATTTTCGCCAGGCCCGACTGAACATGTCAAGGCAAAGGATTACAGAAGCTTGTGCAGTCCGAAGCTCAGGGCCGGTTGCAGGTTTCTGGGAGCCCCAAAAAAGGAAGGCAGATCTGATGGGCTGAGGACACAACTTGATCAGATACGGTGGTGCCCCATGGTTAGCTAAGTTGGTTTATGGCTAACTTGCGTTTCTGCGATATCTAATATCTGTACTTAATCAGGGTTAGAAACCAACTTGCAACTAGGGAGCACCACGCTGTACCCGTAGCTACACCGGAATGTACACCAATGCCGAACATGTTCTGGTTTCTGATATCTGGAAGTTTATGAGATAAGATCATTCCGTAGCTTGGACTTACTGGTTTCCCAGAGGATCTTTTTTAGGTCGCCATCCAAACAAATGGATCATGTGCTTTTTCTCATGGCCAAGAATGGTAGAAACTTGTTGTCCCCAATTTCTGGTGAAGTCCATGGTTTTCTTGATCCGGTCCAGGTCTTAGAAAGTGACATCATGTTTCAAAATCGCATGTTTTCCTCATTGAATAGGCATATTAATTGAAAATTATTGAAATATATTGACATATTTGCTGTCCAAATCCTCGTTGATTGCCTTTTTGCAATGGCTGAGTCCATGTTTTTCGCCCATCAAATCCAACTCTCTGCTGAAGCAATTTTGGTAATAGAAAACCCTGACTTTCGGCGAATGAACTACCGTTTTCATCCATGTTCAGTGCATGAAAAATCGGATGGTAAACAGCAATATCATCATATCATATCCGATCTAAACTTCATTAGTCAATACGACTCTCCATTTTTTTTATGGACCATGAGCAGAGCCAAGCCCTTGATTGTTCTAGGCCCGAGAGGCGGCGGACAAGCGTGAGGCAACCGAAAAAGGTTTGGGTTTGAGGAAGACATGTTACACCAAGGAAACTATGGAGAAACTATGGAGAATCCCATATGTTTTTTGAATGTGAAGCTCCTTTGCATTTTTTCAACTTCCCATTTTTCGAAGAAGTATATGTAGATCATTTTTCGAAACATGGAGACTTTGACCCCCAAAAAAAGATGAGCGAAGGCCATGGCTGCTACAGCCTACCGCGAAGCAGTGGAAGCCGAGGAGGAGGCAGCACAGGATGCTGTGTGGAGGCTCAGCATGAGGAGCAGGGTGTAGGAATTGATATATTACGTGTATATATATACATATATGTAATATTCCCATATTCATGTATTTTTTGGTTATTCTCCATTAGTACGACATATACTATATGACACATATATATATATATGTAACATATATATATATATATGTAACATATATATATATATATGTAACATATATATATATATGTAACATATATATATATATAATGTATATATATATATACACATGTATAATCATATATTGGTGCACACACACACACATGTGGCAAATTTCATTGTATGTACACATACATGACTGAATAGACATCCATGGTAGAAACACATGACTTATTGTGGCATATGGTTTGGTAGGACCGATGTCCAAGGGCAAGGCCACTACGTAGAGCCATCCATTGCCAACTGGCTGAAATCCTCCCTTTTTCACGGCGATCAAAGTCCGAAATGGTTGTGTTGGTACCAACCATTGGATTCAGGGAAAAAACCCATCGGAAAGCCGTGTTTTTCACAATGACAGGGTCCCTTTTTTTCTGGCCATTTTTGAGGGATTGGGAAGGGGCTCACACTCACAAACCAAGTGAAAAGGCCATTTTTGAGGGGTACCCTCTGGTAAACTAACATAACTATGGAAAATCACCATTTTTAATGGGAAAATCCACTATAAATCACCGTTTTCAATAGCTATGTTAGTTTACCAGAGGGTAAATTATGATGATCCATCGAATTGAAGGTCCCCGATAGAACTTTCCCTACAGATTTTCCGCTGGAACCGAGGTGGCCGAGGGTCGGCGTGAAAGTCTGCTGCACGAGCAGCAAGCAGCACTGGAGCTGCAGTGGCTTGGGTCAAAAGGGTCATCATGGATGGAAAAATGGGATAAAATTGGACAATTGGGGATTTAACCGATTTAACCCATCGGTTTTTCGGATTTAGCACATCAAGTTTGGAGGTCGCCGATTTTCAGGCCTAGTCTAGAGTCTCTTTCTGTTGAAAGCCCTAAGCCCAACATGGGTTTGTTGACCAGCCATCCTGTGAGAATTTAAGCATCAAAAATAGATAAAATAGTGATCCAACCAGCTAAATTGGGGGTTTATGCCAATCATGATAAGGATTTACTTGGATCTACTGTAGCCCGAAACCGAGATAAGACCATCCGCAATGGGGACATGTGGAATGTACCGGGGTATGTCACCAACAAGACTTTGGTTTTATTCGAAAAAAGTTTTGTGTGTCTCAAAATGGGGGACATCCCAATTTTTCTTGCACTTTCAAAACGGAACATCATGATCAACCGTCGGATTTCAGGGGTAGCTTTTAAGACAAAACATATATCAATAAACAATCAGGTGGACTCCAAATTTGGGATATTTGGGCATGGAATTCCAAGATTTCAAACTGCTTTCCCTCGTTGTGTCTTAGGTTTTCATCCACTTCGGCATCCCCTGTGTACCAAGGCATCTCCACGGCAAAAGTGCCTCCGCGAAGGCCACCTTCGTGGGTACCTGACCATTGTTGGTGGATATTCCCAGCATTGCTGAACAGCCCATAACAGCCCTATCTTTTGTTGATCCACATCTTCTATCGATAATTCATGTTTTTTTTCATTTAATGCATGGGATTTACTTTGGATTCTTGAATTGTTGATGGATATGAGATATCCCATTACTCCACTGTTGCATGAGCTGCAATATCACAGATAATAAGAATCTTGAAGACATCCAGACTCAGACATATCCAAAGTGTCAAGAAAACACATATATCTGACTCATTAAAAACATGACAAAAATACTAAACAGTTAGTTACATATGTAACTTGCCTCATTCCACCTCTACAGGCCGAAGCAGATTCCGTGGAGAAAGACGCCAGGGCCGAGGTGGAGGTGTGGCCTCTGTGGTTTTTCTCGGAAGCGTTTTGGGTATAGCATGGTATAGCCATAGGATGCCATAGGTTTAAAAACTAACAACTACAGTAGACTTGAATTGGGGAAGTCAATCCAAAGATATCCAAAGATTGGGGATGTCAGAGAAAACATGGTTTTATCGAAAACGTGGGGAGATCGACAGCTAGAATGATGTTTGAGGCTTTGAATGGTGAGCCCCTTTGACATACAAAATGGGTGTGCTACCTGAAGTACGCAGCGGACCTGCCAAACCTTTGATCTCTTCTCATACATGAAGGTTTCATTTCCAATCATGACTTATGACTTGCGTGGGCACGTCAGCTGTACACAAAAATGGTCCGCCCAAATGATGGGTTTTGTCCAATGGATTCTGATATTCTCAATATTATACATATATATATAATATATATACATATATATAGTACAATATTATGTATATTGGTCAATATAATCCCCGAACTAATCATCAACCAACAGGGGTTGGCAACCACTGCTCCTGTCATGGTGTTTTGCCATGCGCTCTATCGCAGGTACTGAGGCTCTTGACTGATGATTGAACGCAGGGGGGGCGAACTCACCAATATGTATATACGTATATACGTATACATGTATATATATATATATATACATATATATATATACATACACATATATATATATACATATCCTATGCATAATATGTATTGAACGAAAGTAATGAAAATAAATGAGAATAATGCTCTAATGACAACAGTAATGCTGCTAATCATGAGAATACTGGTGATAATGATAAGGATGATCATAACAAGGGCAATACCAAAAATACGGACAATACGGATAATAAGGACAACAAGGATAGTACTGAGAATGATGATAATAAGGATAATACGGATACTACGGATAATGCGAATGATAGATAATAATCATCAGGATAACGATGACCAGGATAATAATAACAATGACAATTACTGACAATAACAATGACAACACGATCACTAGTAATGACAATTGTGATAAGAACAGCAATGATCAAATCAACAAACACAACTATAGTTATATACATACTTATTTCATATATGAATAAACTATCGATATAGAACATATTACTCCCATCTAAATTCGATATACTATAAATATTATACCAAGAATATCATTTTCATCCCCATCAAATTTTGACATTGTCGCGGGCCCGCGGGCCCGCACGAGCCAGGCCTTACTAGAGGCTGCCCAGCGAACGCCTCAGTATTTTGATCACTCGAGGACCAAATTCTCTTGTTGGTGGATGATTACTTCGGTGGTTTCCGAAAATAGGGGTACCCCCAAATCATCCCTGTTAGATTAAGATTTTCATGGATTTCCCTGAAAAAAACCATGATCCATTCAGTTCAGTGACGTGAAGTCCGATATCTTTGCATTTGCACTCTACACTGTGGGCCAAAGTCATGAAAATTGAGATGAATGAGATGGTGTGGTCAAGATTCAGCAACACCCTTTTGTTGTTCTTCTGTTGCTTCTCAGTACCTTATCCCTTATGCTCCATGTATGGTATATTTACCTACATTTGGGTGATTTTTAGGGCAAATGCTGGTAAATATTCCATACATGGAGCATCTGGGTATGCGGTTCTCTACCACAGCATGCCCAGCCCAATTTTACACCGTTTCAACATGTAACATGTCTGACATGTTGCAACAATGTTATCAAGCATCAACTTAGACGGGCAACGACCGGGCCGAGGCGCCGTTGTTTGGCATCTGAAGCGCAGGCACCTCGGCAGCTTTCATCGCCCAAAAATGGGAGGTTGGACTGCCTGTTGATAATATATATATATGTTTAAAAGCAGCACCCATTCTTTCCACCTGACTGGGGTCATGTGGCCTTGCGTTTCCTTCAGGTGCGGCGATCGGCGAAGACACTCATGGCTCAGGCGAGACAAAGGAGCAGTCTTAGCGGTGTTGGATCTAGGCAAGATCCGTGGGCCTGGGCAATTTAACTGGTAGCGGAGCCCCTAAGACGGGGGCATCCGGTTATAGCCCTGTTGGCCTGTGATCCTAGGTAGGATCGGGCGAAAAGCAGCACTAGGCTGCCATGGCGGCTGAGCAGCGCGATGGCAATGCTCAGTGGAAACGCTTCAGTGGCGATGATCTGGACGGTAAGGCGTATAGACGCTGGAAGCTCTGGGTCGAAGCCAAGATGGCAGCCTCAAAGGATATCACCAGCAAACAACGCGGTCCCTTCGTGTACTGTTTGCTGGATGGCACAGCTTTGGAGTCAGTGGAACACCTGACCTTAGAGAAGCTCCAGGAAGAATCCGGTGATCGCTACATCTGGGATGCCTTGAATGAGCGCTATCCGGACAAGCAGCAACATGACTGGCTGGCAGAGTGCCTTCGTGAAGTCTTTCAGATTTCAGCGAACGAAGGCGAAAGCATGATGGCGTGGACTTCAAGGGTTCAGGAGGTGTTCTCCAAGTGCAAGTGCAAGGTGCAGGTGGATTTTCCCACCGAAGCTCGTGGCTGGATTTGTCTTCATGTTGCAGGCTTGACGGAGGACCAGCGGGCGATTGTCACCGCAAAAACCCAGGGAGACATGAAGCTCGACGTGGTCATGGGCGCCATGCGCTCTTGCTTTCCCGACTTCAAAGCTCCTTCCAAGACCGCGAAGTCCCGAGGTTCAGCAGTTTATGTGGTAGAGGAAGATCCAGTGAACCTGAAGTTTGAGCCCGACTCCGACGATGCTGAGCCCTCGGACAACATGTTAGCTGACGTTGAGGCATTTCTGGCCGATCACGGCGTCCGTGAAGAGAGCCTTGAGGCCTCCACCACTGCCCTCTTCGATGAGAAGGAGGTGGCCGAGATCCTGGCGGCAACCTGGAAAGAGAAGAGAGCGGAGATCACCAAGTTGCAACGCAGTCGCAAGTTTACCCAGGCCTCGAACATCAAGAAGCAGTTCTCCCGAGAAGCCTCGGATCTCAAGCGGAAGTCCAAATGCTGGAATTGTGGCCGCTCAGGACATTGGTCACGAGAGTGCACGGCTCCGAAGTCCTCCAGCGCTTCGTCTGAGAACGACAAGCACAAGACCCATGGCGCTGCAGTTGCAACCTGCCTCTCTCCGGAACCTGTTTCTGGTGAGACCTTTTTGGTGTCCTCCCCGGGTTTTGGAATAGTGGATAGTGGGTGTAGCAGAACCTTGATTGGCCAAGACACCCTCAACTCCTTTCTGCGCCTTTTTCATGACCTGAAGTTGCCGACCCCTGAAACCAAGTCTCAAAGCAATTTGTTTCGTTTTGGAAATGGCAGTGAAGAATGGTCAGAAAGGGTAGTCACTATGCCGATAGGAATTTTTGGACGTAGAGGTTCCGTTGAAGCTGCAATCATCAAGGGGAATGCTCCTCTGCTCCTGAGCAGAGCCACCATGCGGGATCTCAAAGCGGTCCTTGACTTCAGTGAGAGCAAGATCTCCTTGTTGGGTGCCCAGGCGCGTTCAATGACCTTCAACGAAGCTGGCCAGGTGATTGTCAACATGCTGGACTTTGACGCTCATCCTGCTCTCTTGGTGCAAAGTGATGAGGTGGTTTCGGCATCTGGCAAACTTAGCAAGCGGGAGCGTCGAGTGGTGCTTTCTCAGATGAAGGCGTGGTCCAAATCCAGCTCCAGCTGCAAGGTGGCCGAGCTCTTTTCCCCACCTCGTTTTGCCAAGGTTGCCGAGGAGCTGGGATACAAGGGCCTTTCTTTTGATCTGCAGCAAGGTTGGGACCTGACCTCTCCGTCGGTGCAGCGGGATGTTAGCTCTGCCCTGGAAGAGGCGAAGCCCGAACTCCTGGTGGTGTGCCCTGAATGCAAACATTGGGGAGGTTGGTACCGCTTGAACCAACACCATCTTTCAATGGTCGAACGCCTGGAGAATCAAAGGTATGCCAGGAAACAGGTGGATTTTTGTGTCCAGGAGATCAAGAACCAAATCAAACGTGGGGGCCGTGTGTTGATCGAACACCCATGGAGTTCTGACATGTGGCACTACAGCCCTATGGCCAAGGTCACCAAAAACATGTTCAAATGCCGAGTGGATTTGTGTGCCTACGGTTTGGTAGATGATGCTCAGACCCCAATTTTGAAGCCGACAGCCATCATGGTCTCCCATGCTGACATGAAAGACCTGGCCCACACTTGTCCAGGACATGCCACACACAGGGTTGTAGCAGGTAAATGCAAAGATGGGGAAAATGTCAGTTGTAAAACAGCTCGATACACTCATGAGTTTTGTAGGAAATGGCTCAGTTGTGTGTGTCCTCGTCCTCAGCTCTGTTCGTTCGCATGCCTGGAGGACCCTGAGGCCCCTGAGTCTTTGACACCCTCAGTAATTCCTGAGTTGCCCTGTAGTGTTGAGACGGCTGCAGCCGAAGTGTGTGCCGCCTGCAAAGTTGCTGAGGTACCGGATCGGGAAGTCTTGCAATCGCTCACAAAGTTACATAACAACTTAGGCCACCCCTCAGACCGTGACCTTCTCAGGATTTTAAAAAATGCAGGTGCCAGCAACAAAGCCCTCTCTCTGGCGGCAAATTTTGAGAAGCAATGCACCGTATGCATGCAGCGCAAGCGACCCACGCCTTGTTTGCCTGTTTCTCCTTCACAACACTTAGACTTCAATCATCGTATTGGTCTGGATGTTAAGCTGTTGCCGGGTTGGCAGACAAATCAGCGAGTGAAGTGTTTGAACATAGTTGACTATGCTTCCAATTACCAAGTCATGCTGCCTTTCTATGAAGTGGAAACAGCTGGTGTTTTGAGAACACTCCTCCGAGAGGGTTGGCTCCGCTGGGCAGGTCCTCCAGTTGAGGTCGTGATGGACCCAGCCACCACCAACATGGCCGAAAGCATGATTTCTCCTTTGGAACAGTCAGGGGTCAGGGTTTTGTCAATTGCCGCAGAGGCTCACAATCAATTGGGTAAGGTTGAAAAGCATGGACATTTGTTCGAAGTGATCTTAGGCAAAGTGCTTGAGCAGGTTCAGCCCCAAAGCAGAGAAGAATATGAAGCTTGTGTTTTGCAGACCACCAATAGCAAAAACGAACTTATCAGCGTCAAGGGTCTCAGCCCAAATCAACTGGTGTTTGGCCGAAACCCTCGTGTGCCGGAGGACCTGTTGCAAGACTGGCCATGCCCTGTGGCGGCGTCCTCACCGTTGCATGACGATGCTCATGCCCGTGCCAGATAGATTAGATCAGCAGCGCGTCTGGCGCTGGTCATGTCCCAGGATGACAAATCCCTGAGAACGGCACTCAACGCTCGTCCCAGAACCGAGCGGGAATTTCTGGCGGGGGATTTTGTTTGCTATTGGAGGACCCAAAAGTATCAAAGGGGCACCCGATTGGTTGGGGGTAGATGGTTTGGTACTGCTCTAATCATGGGAAAAGTTGGCCGGAACTTTTTGGTGCACCACCGGAAAAACATGTTCAAAGTGGCCCCAGAACATTTGCGTCATGCCTCCCAGGAAGAAAGACTGGCCGCTCAAACAGATGGCAGAGAGCTCCTGGGTATTGAATCCTTGGTGGAAAAGGGGAAAGAAATGCTAGGCAACCAGTTTGTTGATTTGACGGGACAAGATCAGCCGCCTGATGTACCGGCTTCGAACAGCTCTCAGCCCGCAATTCAGCACACCGAAGACTATTGGATCCAACGGGGGCCGAATCTCCTGTGTCGGGTCCATGTGGAGCCTCGCACGTGCACGTTCATGCCCAGTCCAGCTGACCCAGTAGTCAGTAAGTTTCAATTGGATGATTGGCGCTTAACTCATATTTCCCATAACTGCCAAGTCTCACAAGATGAATGGATAGATTCTCCTTGGTCTCATGTTGATGACAGAGAGAAGAAGGTTCAAGAGTCACCCTGGACTGGGGAAACCCGTTTTTGGATCCTGTCGCAGGACAAGCTGGAGCCATCAGCAAAAGAGCTGGTCACAGTTTCTGCGCCTTCTGTCCCCACCGTGGAGAATCTAAGGGATGCGTCCGGTGATGTTGATTCCGAAAGCCCACAAATGAGCAACAACACTTCCAGTCCATATTCCGGGGATACCATTTCTGACCATAAGGCTTCACAACTGAGAGAGTATGGTCCCGTAAGGCTTAGGAATTGGAATAAGGGCCCCAGTAATTTTTTGTTTCGACCAGTCCAGACACAGCCAGAGGATCTCCGAGAGGTGGTGCAGGAAATGGCAGAGGAGCGTAGCTCTGCGGAGAAACGCGCTCAGTCCAGAGAGCCCAGCACAGGACCTCCAGCCAAGAGCTCCCGAATCGAGAGCCCGGAGGACCAATGTCTCTTAGCTGAATGTGCGAGTCAGGACCCAAGCATGAGTTTTGAAACATTTCTTGCGACGTTCCTGAAGAAGAAAATGCAGAAGGAACTTCACCACTCCAACAATCCTTCCGAGCTGCAGGGTCTGATTGATGATTCCAAGAGAGTAGAATGGGAAACCCTTCAAAACGAGAAACAAGCCATACATGTGATTCCTCCTCACGAAGCCGTTTTGATTCGCAAACACAAGCCTGATAGGATCATGTCTAGCCGTTTTGTGATCACAGAGAAGCAGGAAGATCAAACCACGAGGGTCAAATCCAGGTGGTGTTTGAGGGGCCATCATGATCCTGACCTTACTCAAAAGATTTTAGCTGGGAAATGTCACTCACCCACGTTGTCTCAACTCAGTAGGAGCCTCATTTTGCAGCTGATTGTGAGTAACAAATGGATCTTGGGCCTTGGCGATATCAAGGGTGCCTTCTTGGAGGCCAATGTGCTGGAACAAGCCTTGCAGAACCCAGTTTACGCTGAACTCCCTCCAGGGGGTGTGCCTGGGGTAAAACCTGGCAGCCTGGTCCAGATTCTTGGGAATGTGTATGGAGCGAACGATGCCCCGGCAAACTGGTATCATGAATTTGACAAGGTTGCAACCTCTGTTGGCTTTACCAAAAGCAAGTTCGATTCCTGTTTGTACCTTTGCTTCAACTCCGAGGGACAGCTACAGGGGGTTCTTGGTGCTCATGTGGATGATACAATTACGGGTGGGGATGGAGAAGCTTACCTGTCCGCAATTGCCCAATTGAAAGCCAGGTTTCCTTTCCGAAAATGGCGCACAGGCTCTGGAGAATTTATGGGAACTCAATACTGTCAAGACCCAAGTACTTTCGAGATCACATATCAACAACAAGACTATGCAGAGAGCATTCGACCTATTAGCATCTCTAAGGAAAGGGCTCGTAAGTATTGGCTTCCGGCCAGTGAAAAGGAAGTGGCAGCCCTCAGAGCTGTCAATGGCGCTCTGGGCTGGCTGAGCTCGCAGTCGCGTCCTGACTTGGCCGTGCAAACCTCTCTGTCCCAGCAGAGTTTTCCAGTGCCCACAATTCAAGACCTTTTGCAAGCCAATCAGGCAGTGAGACGGGCCCGACAACAGTCCGATTTGAAGATTACTGTTCCATATATCCCCATACATGACATCACGGTAGTTTTCTGGTCGGATGCAGCTTTTGCAAATACCTTGAGCATGAAGACACAAGGTGGTTGGCTGTTAGCGTTTACCTCCAAAGCCTTTTCTCAGGGTCATGATGTTCCGATTCACTGCATTGGCTGGAGATCGTACAGACTCCCACGGGTTGTCTCATCAACCTTGAGTGGCGAAGCCCAAAGTTTTTCCGTTGCCTCAGGAATAGCCGAATGGATGCTCTTGGTCCTGTCGGAGGCCATCGATGGTCCCTTCAGCTTAGCCGACGTTGATCAGGTGCTGAAGCGCAGGAGTCCAATTGGGGTAAGTGATTGTAGATCCCTATATGATCATTTAAATTCCTTGGGTAATGGGGGTACTTTAGATGATAAGAGGACTGCCATCAACATTGCCATAATCCGTCAGTCGATTCAGCGATGCGGTTTAGAACCTCGATGGTGTCCCACGGACAGAATGGTTGCAGATGCCTTTACCAAAGACAAAGGTGAACCCCTAGACCTTCTGCGGTCAGTCATCCGCCAGTATCATTACCAGCTAGCCGACGAGCAGGTCGTTTTGGACCGGAAGCAGCAGGAAAAACAGAGACGCCAGTTGAAAGCCAAAGAACGTTCAGTTGAAAACCACCGACCCACCGCAGTCAAACCTGACAGTGAGTGATGAGGGAGTTTAGTCATCTTGTGCTGACTAACGTCCTTTTCAGTTTTGATCGCTGTGTACGAAGTTGCATCAGTTAAGCATAAACCCTGTTTTGTCAAGCCACCAAGCCAGCTTCTCTTGTGTAGTGTTCAGAAAGATGTTTTCTTCGCCTTTCCTTTTTGCAAGCCTGTATGAAACGCAACAATACCAAAAGCAGTCCTTCGGTGATGCATTTTTGTCAAGCCCGCACCGTATAACTTGCCAGCCAAAGATAGTCACCTGACTTTTGGCTCCTGTCTGTTTTCCTGCCATGTCTCAGGACGCAGTGTCTGCTGAAGAGTTTCGAGCCTTGAGGGCCACGATGGACCGTTTGAGGAAGTATGGTTTGCAGAGCGCGACGTCTGAAGCTGCTGGAGCAGAAGTGCTGGGAGCTATGGCGGATTCTAGCAAGCGCCTTCGTGATGACTCCATCGCTTCCTTTGACATGGCTTTTGATGATGAGCCTTGGGATTTGCCTTGCGGCGGAGTGCTCACCGGTTCTTCTGCAACTGGTGGCCAGCAAGTGATTTCTCCTAAGGTGCTGAGTTCTCAGACGGTTGAGCTGCCGCCAGGTGTTTCTTCGATCAAGGAATGGGGCAAGACTTTGTGTGAGCTGCCGGCTGTAGCACGCCAGAAGTTGTCTTATGAGGCCCTGGCCCAAGACGAGTCCCAAACGGACTATTTGCTATGGATTTTGAAACAAGGGGCATCAAAGGGCCCGCGTGTAGCCGATTTGGCCAATTATTTGCAGGCCATTAAGTTCACTGAAAAGTGCAATGGTCAGTCCATTGGACCGCCCTATCCTGGTTCCAATGTGGTGCGTAAGTTTGCAAGCTGAAAGACAGCTTCCTTTCTCTAATGGTGATGCGCTTTCTCCCAGCGAGTTTTTGCGTGGTCCTCTGTTGTTGTTTTTGTTTGGTTGGTGTTTTGGTGTTGTTTTTGCTGTTTTGCTTTTCTTTGTTGTTGTTTTTCATATTACTGGGAGTTTAAAAGCAGCACCCATTCTTTCCACCTGACTGGGGTCATGTGGCCTTGCGTTTCCTTCAGGTGCGGCGATCGGCGAAGACACTCATGGCTCAGGCGAGACAAAGGAGCAGTCTTAGCGGTGTTGGATCTAGGCAAGATCCGTGGGCCTGGGCAATTTAATATGTATATGCATGATAATTATCATCTATGATAATATAGATATCATCTATGATAATATAGATAGTCCATATATAAATCGCCATTTCATTTATAATCATTGTTACATTCATCTCCAAGTTCAAGGCTATGGGGGAAGTCTTGCACATCCTCTACTACTTCACATTGCCATTTCTTTGCTGACACCAGTTCGACCATCAACAATCTCCTTCTTGGACACCTTTTGGCGGACGTTTCGAAATCTCTGCTCCCGTTTCCTTTGCATTTCCAGCCGATTTCTTCATCGACACCATCTCCGCCCACTACTCTCTGGCTTTGTCACAACTTTTGGACTTTTGGGGAGGTCTAGCACATGTTCTTCTACATCGCACTCTCCTTTTTCTTGCTGGAACAAACTTTCCTCCTCACCATAAACTGAGGGCCATGCCCGATGGACCCCATTTCCAATCATTTGCGAATTCAGCATTACGAGCTCTGCGCCAGGATGCAACTTTCCTTCTAGGTACTTTTCTCACTGGACAGAATATCCTTTATAAAGATTTATTGAAGATACATGCATTGAAGATGCACCACAGGTACTACTTGTTGAGGGGCCAAGACCTCTGTTTGTCACGCCAGTTCCTTTCCAGCTGTACTCGTAGCTAGAGTTGGCTGGGGCTGCCAGAGGCGTGCCGGGAGACCACGGTCACTCCTCTGTGTACAATGCCTCCTTTTTTGGTTCACTATTCTCCAAAGCGAGAGACAAGTGGTCACGAACCTGCCATGCGCCATGGGACCGTTCTCTTTTTGGTTACTTTCTCCTTTGTCTATTTGATTGTTCCGTTGTTTCGGTGGTTTTGGGGTCCATCTACAGTCAATTCCATCGGGTCCCGTGTTATAGGCTCTAGTTAGCAGCTAACTACAGTTAGCAGCTTATTCTGCAGCCTACAGATCCTGTTCATCCCATTTCTCCTTTTTCGTATTGCTTCTCCATCTGACTGACGGAAAGCTGCTGTGGACGTGTAGTTCGTCTAGAACTGCCTAGCGCTGACGAGAAAAACAATAACTTTTCCAGTTTGTGATAGTCCATAGCCGTTTCATGGCTCATTTCACAGCCGTTTATGAGCCAGGCAGAGGGATGGACGTCCGAAGCGCTGGAGAGCCACTGGGCCTGCTGAAGTTTATGGCAGTTTATGGATTTTTTGAGAGGAAACAAGTCCCCAATGAATGGAGGTTTATAGCTGGGAAAAAACATCTATAAATATCTATAAAAGGTGGATTTTCCAGTTTCCATCCTACGAATCCTACTTAAGGTTTGTTTGCAAAACCCATAATGTTGTAGACCAAACAATGATAGAATATACCCAATAGAGGATTTTGAATGAAATTGGCTATCCCCCAATGCAATGGGATGATGTTTTAGATGACCCCCCCAGTAATGCTTGGTGAATGGCATTGGATTTACCACATCCGATGGACCGTCAATGGTATTTTGATGTATTTTGGTAGTGCCAAAATTTTGACCCATAGCCATAAATTAGCAACCGCAGACACTGGATTCATAAACTATACCCTCTGGTAAACGTTTACGTAACCATGGAAAATCACAATGATTAATAGGTAAATCGGCTATAAATGGGTCATTTTCAATAGCTATGTTAATTTACCAGAGGGTGTCTATTTTAGTATAATTTCATTTTTCTATCTTTTTGGAGTTCTCGTCCAGGTTCTTTTTGGGTGGATCGATGACTTTGAGCTAATCCCAGAACATTGCAGACATTTGCATGAACGTTTGCCATCCTTTACCAGATGTCGGTCAGCGTTTGGTATTTTGCCATTTCATGTTTGGTGCATCGAAATTTACCATAGTTTGCATCTTCCACCATCTAGGTATTACAACATCATTTACAGTATCATCTACCATGGTCATTGATCATCATCTATGCTTATTTGCAGTCATGGAATCTCCCATCATCATCCATCAAATTTCAGTTTTCGAAATTGTAATGTGTGTATATATATATGTATACATACATATACACACATATAATATACATAGTACACATATTCGTTGAAATATTTTGAGAAGGATATGTATACGTATATATATATACATACATATATAATATATACATATGATATGTCTATGTACATGTACATGTACATGTATATATATATATATATAGTATAAACATATCCTCAATTGTTCCTGGTACATTTATCAGTTCCGAACTTGGCCTTTTGCCTCAGGTGCTCGGCGCACGGCAGAGCGCCTGAGCCTTGCCGAGGTGAGGGTGTTATATGGGGATGGGTCAAGACCTATTATTAGTCGAACACCCATTGGACCTATTATGAAAAAATATTATTATATGGAGATATATAATTACAATACTATTATACTGACCCTATTATTATTGACTTAGTTAGTATTTGAGGTGATGAACATCCATTTGCCAACTAGTCGAGTCGCTTCGCGAGCACCGCGATGAGCACCACCCGCACCCAGGAATAGGACACAGAGGAAAGAAGAGGGCCTACCTGGCCCAACCAAAAGCTGACTGGGGTCAAACTTGGCCGTTCTTGGCTTAAGTTGAGCCGAAGACGAGCCGACTTGGGCCCAACTTTAGCGTAACTTGCGCCGAACTCGCGCTAGTTGGCTCCAACTTGGGCCCAACTTTGTGACCAAATCGATATCCTTTTCTCGGATCCCAAATTGTATGGTCTCCAAGCCGCGCAGGCGAAAGCCGCGCGGAGCCCAAAAGCAACGGAACAGGTCATTGAGCTCCGATTTGTTCCACTTACCGGCAATAGAATCCACCAAACGCTGGTTTTCCTAAAATAGAGGATCCCGAGGCCTCCATGGGTTTCAATACAAAAATAATCGAATTTTGGATAATTTTGGGGCATACCTCTATTTTAGGAAACCCACCAAATGATCCCGAAAAACCACTGCCTCAAGCTGAGGCCCAGATTTGGTCTGAATCGCAAAAGCAGGTCGAGAAGGTCTTGAGAGCCAACGAGAACGAGGTGGGGCATTCAATTCAGTGAGAGTTGTGTCCCCAAGTGAGCAGTTCTCATAGCCAAATAGAAAAATGGTGAAAATACAAACTCGAGGAGCAAAAGTCCCGTAGCTGTTCAGTGATTTGAAGATGTTCCCACATGTTTCAATTTGTTCCATCCTGTTTGCTGCAGATGATGTCATACTCCCCACAGATTGGCCAATGTCATATCTGGCCACACAGTACGGAACGACTTGATCATATTTGGCCCATATTTCAACTGATTCACATCTACAAGACATGTGTTGTGTACTACATGTGTTTACATAGCACCATCTTACATATATATATATATGTATATTTATACACACATACACACATACATACATACATGCATGCATGCATTACATTGCATTGCATTGCGTTGCATTGCGTTGCATTGCATTGCGTTGCATTGCGTTGCATTGCATTGCGCTGCGTTGCATTGCGCTACATTATGTTATATAATTACATATCTTGATCATGCCCACGTCTTCCATCCCACAGACAGTTTGTTTCCCAGGTTGAGGCCGCAGAAACCAGTTGTGCAGCAAAGGAAGTGGCTGCTGCTGCGGAGGCTGGACAGCTCAAACCTGACCTGTAGGAACGTTTGTGATACAAAACCAGGGTCACAATTTGGACAGTTTAGTTTAGTGATGTTTATTTTCCCGAATGCGTAGCAAGGGTTCCCGTTTCACTCTGGGGGTCTGGGGGTTGAGGGTGTGTTCGCTCGACGTTGCGCAACCGTCCGCAACCGTCCGCAACCGTCTGCACAACCGTCCGCAACTGTCCGCAACCGTTCGCAACCATCCGCAACCGTTCGCGCGAGGTCGCTATAGATCGGCAGCGGAGGTCACTCTTTTGGAGTAGCCAGGCGTGGCACTTCGTGACATTCAGACGTGTTTCGTAACGTGTCGAAAGTCGTTTTGCGTGGCAGGCGCAATACTATTGCGACATTTTCAGAAGATGAGTTCCAGTTTTCGTGGCAGGCGCAGCACTTTGGACGTGACCGTCGTCATTTGCGTGGCAGGCGCAGCACTTTAGAGGAGTCGTGTTGCGTGTTTTTTGCGAATCGCATTGTCAGGGCTGCCTCAAGTGGTGACAGCGTGCAAATCCCGTGACAGGCGTGACATTTTGTGAGATGTGCTGAAAATTGACGGAAGCCTCGCACGAAACATCGATCAAATTTTCAGGTTCACAAGAAAGCTCGCAGGAAAACGTCGATTCTGAAGCTCCAAAGTGTGAAAATTGGAGGAAGTCTCGCACGAAATGCTCATTTTGATGCTCCGGCATGTCTCGTCTCGAGTCTCTGGTTTTCCTGTGGCCTCGCCGTGTCTATGGGGGCAGAACCTATCCTGTTTCAAGGTTTCAAAGCCAGTTGTAACGTGGTTTTGCGTGACAGGCGTAGCAGTTCGTGACATTCTCATGTGTCTGCAAACGTGTCGAAAGTCATTTTGTGTGGCATGCGCAATACTTTTGCGTACTACACTCTACACTCTACACTCTACACTCCACACACTACTGTACACTCCACACTCCACACACCACACTCCCCACTCTACCTTTTACACTTCACACTTTACACTCCGCACTCCGGACTGTACACTCTACACATTACACTCCACACTCCACTCTCCACACTTTACACTCCACTCTCCACACTTTACACTTTACACTCCACACTTTACACTTTACAAACCACACTCTCACTCCACACTTTACATTCCACACACTCCACACACTCCACACACTCCACACACACTCCGCACACTCCACACACTCCACACACTCCACACACTCCACACACTCCACACACTCCGCACACTCCACACACTGCACTGCTCCACACTCCACACTCCACACTCCACACTCCACACTCCACACTCCACACTCCACACTCCACACTCCACACTCCACACTCCACACTCCACACTCCACACTCCACACTCTACTCTTTACACTTTACACTTTACACTTTACACTTTACACTTTACACTTTACACTTTACACTTTACACTTTACACTCTGCACTACACACTCCACACTTCACACTCCACACTTTACACTTTACACTTTACACTCCACACTTTACACTTTACACTCCACACTCCGCACTTTACACTACACACTCCACACTCCGCACTGTACACTTTACACTTTACACTCCACACTGCGCACTTTGTACTCCACACTCTGCACTATACACTCCACACTTTACACTTCACACTTTACACTCCACACTCCGCACCTTACAATCCACACTCAACACTTTACACTTTACACTTTACACTCTACACTCTACTTTTTACACTCCACACTCTGCACTTTACACTTTACACTTCGCACTCCACAGTCCACACATTACACTATACACTCCACACTCTACACTTTAGACTCCAGACTCCACACTTTACACTCGCACTCCACACTTTACACCCCACACTCCACACATTACACTTTACACTCCACACTGCGCACTTTGTATTTCACAGTCCGCACTCCACACTCTACATTTTACACTCCACACTCTACACTCTATACTCCACACTTTACACTCCCTACTCCCTACTCCCTACTCCACACTTTACACTACACACTCTACACTTTACACTCCACACTCTACACTTTACACTCTACACTCCACACTCTTTACCCCACACTCCACAGTTTCCACCGCACACCTTACGCTTTACACCCCACACTCCACAATCCCCACTTCACACTATACATATACATTCGCCACTCAACAGTCCACTTTCTTCACACCCCACACTTTGCAATCCACACTCTTCCGCCTTCCACAGTCTACAGTGCACTGGTACGGTCACGGGGAAAAATGTACAAGACTGTTCAAATAACTTGTTTCACAAAAGTGTTCTACGTGACTGCATTCGGGTTCGTGGGCTGCATCTTGTTTTATTCTTTCTTGCGCCCCATACTGCGCACAAGTTCTAACTCGGTAGATCAATGGGACGGTTTATTTATACAAAATGATGGTTATGTTTGGATATTGGCCATGTATCATGGTGATATCAAGATTTCACCAAAGGATGATTGATGTGGAAAATGATCACGGCTTCAACACGGGCGCAGAAACGTACATGTGGTGTGATGTTATATCACATATGCTTTAACTATGTATGTAAATTAATACAAATCATATCTTGTCATACCCTACCGCCTAAATTTGCGACGGTTAGACTCAGGGGAACCCAGCCACAGTACTCGGGCTTCCGGGATGTTTTTTCGACGCCAGGAAGACCGTCTTAATGGTGAGCTCCAAGAACGTCTGCAGAAGATTCGAAGCGAAGAGAACGCCATGGACGCAGAATTTGCCAAGGTGCGGCAATCCATCATGGCTGGCTGGAAAATCCCGCGCTGAATGGAGGTTCCTAGCTGGGGAAATTCATCCATTTAGGTGCGATGCTGTGAATTTGTAGGCAATTCATATTGTGGGATGATCATCTTAGGATCAAATCTAGTGAAATTGAGTGACTGACAGTGACTGATTATTGCCAAGTTACCATTGTAGGTCACCAGCCATGGCGATATCCGAAGCCATGGTGACATCCGGTGGACTTGAAACCGTGGAGCCTGGCAGGCGCTGGCAGCCATTCAAGCACAACAACAACAAGACTCAGAGGTGCGGCCCTGCTGTGCAAGGATTGCTGCATTGCTGCATTGCTGCAATGTCCACATCACCATGGCTTTTTAGCTCTTGAAAGGCTGATTTGCACACTTTTGCTGGATTTTTGCGGAGATCTGCATGATGTTACCCAATGGTATATGATGATAATCTTCATTATAATATGAGTTACATGGGATTTTGTTATTGAGCAGCAATTACTGATGACCATTTTTCTAGCAATCTTCGTGATAAGAATCGCCCTATTGGCCTATTGGCTTCCCATGATTGCGCCCAGGATTCAGCCCAGAGGATCTGTGCCGCTGAACGCCTGGAGAACTGCCTGTTGGAGGAAGAGTGGGGCCCTGAGGAGTTGGAACTGGAACTCCGGAAGGGATTTAGCCGCTTAGACTAGCGAAGATCGTGTAAATGAACGCGCGCTTATGTGATTTCATATATATATATATATATCATATAGGTGTATCATTGTGTAATATGTGTGTACATGTGTTTGTACATAATATATACACACACACATATATATATATATATATATATTATATATATATTATATATATACACATACAGAATATGCGAATATGATTTGCTGTATTAGCATTCATCATTGGGTCATAATACATGGCTATAGTGGCTATAGTTGTTCGGACTCAGACGCGGCGAAGCCCAAAAAGGCAACTGAGCCACAATACAGGGCTTATGTGGGCTTGTGTGCAGGAAAGGGATTATTAATGGATATTGCATGTGGATTTTGAAAGGTCAAAGGCATTTGGAATATTTCACACCAACAGGCATGGACATGCCCAACTGCATGGACATGCCCAACTGCAGTGACATGCTGCAGGCTCTCTTGCTCCAAGGAAAAAGCATCCCTGCTTGCTCTGCTTGCAGGTTTTGAGCCCAACGTACCCCTCTTTGCTGTAAGATGGCATCGAGAAGGACAAGATCAATGGAACCAAATCCATTCCGGTCAGAGCGGCTACGTGATGAACACCGTCTACGAGCTCTTCGTCCTGCTGGGCTACCAGAACGAACTCCAGACCATGAGCTGCCACCAGTCCCAGCAGATGAATGGGAACAAGGTGAAGAGGCAAGTGGGGAAACACCAAGGCCCGTGGCTGATGGAAATCTAGGTGGACGTCTGGGAGACACAGAACGAAGTGGGCGACGTGGCAGGAGTTCAGCGTTTGGTGGATGGTCGCTTCCAAACTTCTCCGAGCAGCTGGCAGTCAGAAGGTGTACTACCTCCACGGACTGGTGAGGTCATCAAGTCTGAGGGAACTATGCCCAGTGCTGAAACCGAGCTGGCCGAGAAGGAGGAGACCAAAGTCAGGGAAAAGGGCGACGTTTGAGAATCTGAGAAGGGGAGGGATGGGACCAAGGGCATTCGGGACACTGTGAGGGTGACGGAGCAGCCAAAGATGAAGGTTGGCTTCAGGGACACCGTAGTGGGCTCGATGGAACCTGAGATGGACATTCGGGACTCTATCCAGACAGACAGGGCACATGTCCAAAAAGAAGAGGGAAGATTCCTTGGAAGAGGCGCTTGGGGAAACCATGCACAAGGAGGGCGTCATGGAGAAGGAGAAGATCGCCAAAGAAAATGAGCGACTTCAGGCTGAGATGCAGAGGCTCCGTACGATGGCAAGCTCAGCGTCAATTACCTCGTCATGGGCCGAAGTGGACAAACCGCCATCAACGCCAAAGAGGTCAACAAGTGCAGTTCCAAACCATACGCCAGGTGGAACTCGACTCCCAATAGGGTCGCCGCCGGAGGATGATGAAGTCTTCGCGACACCACCTCCGTTGCCGCCAAAAAGTTCATGCTGGTGGTGGACGGGGAGTGATGGTCAGAGGATGAGCCGAAAGATCCACAAGCTGTCTAGCGTCACCTCCAAGCTGCACACCGTCAAATAAATCACCAGTATCAGCTGGACCGGTATCCGGCAAGTGTTGGAAGGTCAAGACTCCAACACACAGGCCAATGTTTTGGCATCCCTTGCTCCGATGGAAACCCATGAAAAGATATGCCAATGTCAATGAGAACAAGGTTGTTGCGGCAAAGCAATGACTTGTGCCTTTGGGACAGGATTGCTATGTTCCATGGATGGGCACGACGGCATCAGCAGGGAGTTGATGTTGTCCAGGTTCCATGAGCAACCACAAGAACTTCATGGATATCTTGGAGGTGATCGGGCTAGCAACGGAGAACATCCTGGTGGTGAAGGTTTTGATGTCCGGAATGGACAAAGTGGCCATTACTTCCAAGTTGGGAACCGAGAAAATCCTCATGGTGATCGGCCCAGCAATTTCAGTCATGTTTCTGGGTTTCAGTCAAGTGACCTGGATCAAAGAGGTCGGGTCGGCATCCACGAACAACTTAGAAGTGATCATCGTGGTGCACAGAGCGAAGTGATGATGGAGATGGACGGGGTCAGCGCCGACGATCGAGGTCGCCTCAAGAAGCGCTGAGGTCAACCAACCCAACCATGCCCAAATTACCGGCACCGAACAGCAAGAATGCCTCTGTTGAGGTCACTGACTGGTTGGCAGAAATCTAATCAGACCCTTGATTGGGGATCTTTCAACAAGAGCTTCCGCGTGGGGGGATCAGACTATGCAGGGGACCATGCGCGCCTACCAGACATGGCTGGCATTGGAAAGGTTGAGACTGACAGCGCCACAACCCAACTTGGAACATCTTGGGCATCCACACTGTGGCCTTCCGCAATCATGCAAAAGGTGCTTTGATGCTACTGCCCTGGTGGATGGAAAGAGCGCATGCAGCCATCTGGAGTACCCCAAAACTTGCATGGTCGTTTTCCATTCCGTGGTGGTGTGCTTGGAGAACCTTGAAGAACTTTGAGTTGCTGACTTGGACCACCATTGTGGCTGATCTAGTCCATCTCCGCCGTCAACAGTTCAAGGAACTGCTCCACATTGGTCATCGTTGGCCTCTCATCAAGATGGATTTCCATCCGGAAAGATGCCACCCTGAACGCAGCCTGACTATGCTTGTGGAGAGCCCCTTGGACGATGGTGTCCAATGCCTTGACTTGGAGTATCATACCTGGCAACGATGCACCAACTTCCACAGCTCGAAGTCTTTTCCACATTCGCAACGTTGAGGGGGCAGCCACTGAGTCCTTCGCTGCAGTGGTATTTGCAAGCTCGTGGAGAAGCTGAGAACATAACATGGTTCATAATGCACATATGCTCACAGCCAATTGCCAAAAGATGGAGTTGAGCGGTGCTGGCATTGTTCTGGACAAGGTCATCGGAAACCCGATTGCCCAGCTCTCAATGGACAGTCTCCCGGTAAGACTGGGGGGAGTCAGGCTGGTCAACATCAACATCAAAATAGCCCTGCAGGAAACGGAGGTGGAAAGAAGGGAAAAGCAGTCGAAACGGAGGTGGAAAGAAGGGAAAAGGTCAACAAAAAGATCTACTTCGCCACCAACCACACCGAACCGAAAAGGAAACGGGAAAAGGTGATGGGTCCAACTCCAAGGGTAATGATGGGTCCAACTCTAAAGGAAAGAAAGGATCCGGAAAAGGTGAAAAGACAGCTGAGGCAAAACCAGCTACGTCCAAAGGTGATGGACAAGTCAAAAAGCTTGATACAAGTACGGCTGAAAACCTCTTGACTGAAGTTTCTACCTTGGTTAAGCTGATCAAGACCGAGGCGGACAAGGAGACTGGCCAGGTCAAGGTGGTCAGCGTGAAGCGTCTTGAACATGACCCTAATGGACCTTGCTACTGGACAGTGGCGCCACTCACTGCCTACGACAACCACGGTCGGAGAAAGAATGGGAGTTGGCGATGGACGCTCAGGTTAAAAAACCACTGGCACCAGCTGGAACAGCTTCTGGGGCTACGCTTCTGGCAAAAGATGTTCAGGAACGTATCCCGATTGGTTTGCTTGCAAAGATGGGTGTGGCTATGGTCTGGCAGCATGATGACGTTCACCCACGGCATCGAAGATGGGGAAAGGTTCCAGTGCGCATCAAGCAGAATTGTCCCTACGTTGACAAGAAGTGGGGAGAAAAGTTGATCAACGAGGTTGAGAATGACATTGGCAAGCCAAGCAACTATGTGCTCTGCATCTTGGCCTGCCTGATCATGAAGTGATGGTGACAAGGCAGGAACTGGAAAAATGGTTCCCGGAAGCCCCAGCTGACCAAATCAACAAGCTGGTGGTGCCGAAGGCGGTTGATGCTGAACGACTCCCCTTCAACCGTCACAGGGGCTACCCGCCACTGCAAGAGCAAATGGCCAACTATGTGACTGGCGGGCCATTGCCTAGATTGGCAGGCATCGCCTACTCCCCGGCATTGCAGCCTCGACCAGTGGTGGTCCCAACATCAACTCCAACACCTAGGGCATCGTCATTACCTCCGAGGACACCTGCCACAACGACATCCCAGGTGCCCACACAAGTGGAGAAGCCAGTGCCGAGCTCATTTGCACCCCCTGAAAAAAGCTCCACTACCACAGGGAAGAGATGGAGGTGAAGATGCTCCGCTACCAGAAGGGGAAGGAGACAAAAAGGAAGATGAAGGGGAAGAAAACCCGACAGCCAGCCAACCTGATGATGATGATGATGATGATGATGATGGAGAAGCTGCGCAATCGGTGTCCTCGACGGACAAGGCCTCGCTCACGGTGACGAGCACATCGTCTGGACCGGAGATCCTGGACACCATCGACACGGTTGCTCTGGCGCTGTGCCCCAAGTCCAAACCGAAGCCTGACCCGAAGCATGGCATGATGCCCCTAGATCCACCTGGTGATGGACATGATGGCCGCCGTCCTCGAAGATCACTTGAAAGAGATCTTGGACGGTTGAGGTCGTTTCACCTAGTCCGGGCGCTGCTGGCTCTGGCACAAACTACGACTTGTGGTACAATCCAAGTCTACGTGGATGGACATCACAACTGTGAGCTAATGTGGTTTCAAAGAATCGACCTCAAGCAAAACCCTGAGCCGACCAACCAGGTGGCACACCCGAAGGGTCGCAGGCATCGGATACGTGTCCAGGTGGCATGCGATCTACTCGAGCTCTATGGCAACAGGGGCCTCTACCTGGGATGAGTCACCTTCAGAGGTGTATGATGAGGCAGTGGAGAGCGAAGATGACAGCGCTGCCGATGATGCCTGTGGCGATGACCCGGAAACAATCTAGGAAGAAGAAGATGCTGGCGACACGGTGTCTGCCAGTGCTGCGGCGGTGCCCACTGGACCTACTACAGCCTTGCCGACCTCTACGGTGACTGGGGCTCCTACGGCTGGGCCTGTGGCACCTACAATCCCCGATGGATCCACTGCGATCCCTACTGCTGCCACTGATGATGCAGCTGATGCTGATTGAGATGATTCCACGTCGGGGCCTCCAGCTGAACGCCGTGATCACGAAGACGATGATGGTGAAGGACCAGAAGGTCCATGGCAGGTGTGACAGAAAGTGCCCACTGCCCACCCTTTCGCGGTGGTCATTGTGGTGCAATCATTGCCCGTAGCAACGAGATCCCGATGGGTGGCCTTCTGCTCATGCTCTACCAATTCATCACGTGCCCACTGAGCAGAGTGGAAGACCAGTGTTGCCTTGGGGAACTTCAACAAATATTGCCAGTTCATGGCTTTTGCACTGGTGTAGGGAGCCTTGAGCCTACAGACCTCGCCACGTACCACCCCAGTACAGCTGCGCAGCCGGCGCATTTGGTAGTCTGAGAGATGATGGCTCAGCTACCAAGGGGGAGTGCATGTGGATTTTGAAAGGTCAAAGGCATCTGGAAGGTTTCACACCAACAGGCATGGACATGCCCAACTGCAGTGACATGCTGCAGGCTCTTTTGCTCCAAGGAAAAAACATCCCTGCTTGCTCCGCTTGCAGATATAATTAAAGTCATCACCCCCATGAGTTGGGATATAAGCCCTATAACATCCTATAATTATGGTTACTTGAATATCCACAAGCCCAAGCGCATTGTTTCATTTTTCCACTTGGCTGGTGGGATCTGTGCTCCAAGCTGACCTGCAACCCATTGCGGCGCGGTGCTGACGAGGTGGGCCGTGTCAGAAGGAATCTATGCCTTCGAGATCGAGGAGGAAGAGGCGAGACAAGGAAGGTCATAGTGAGGGCAGGACCGTGATTGCAATAGACATGTATACAAGTATAATTAATCATAATGTATGTATCTATATATATTTCAAGCGAGTGACTTAGGACTTGTGAAAGATACCCCGGTGTGGCCAAGTCCTATCTCATCATGCGTCGGACCCCCCCTGGACAAGTCCCAACTCATCAGGTGTCCGATGAGATTAGAAACTATGTTTGTTTTTTTTTAGTGCGGCATGGACCACTCGTAAAACCATGATGACATAGTTATATATATATGTATATACTGTAAAATATTCTCATCTAAATTGCCATTGTTCTCTGCTGTTTTGACAATCCAGAGTGCAATCTAAGTTGAAGTCAAACCAATTCCAAGTTGAAGTCAGGCCAAACATTTTTTTTCTTGTTGATTCGGTCCAACCTATGAATGTTAGTGGATTTTCGCACCGTGTTGAATTTTTTGACATGTAGATATATGATTGGGATTTGGTATGCCATATCTGACATCATTGTACAGTAATATACCGATGATTTATTAAATCCCAAAGATTCCCTATGAATTTCCCATCGCTCGTCCCAGGCCGCCAGCCGTGCGCAAAGCGAGCTGACGGCACATCTCGAAGCAGCAACGGCGTCACGACGGCAGAAGGCCCAGGAGAGCCTGGAGGCGCGGATGGGTCGATCATCCATAGATCGGCTGATCCGTCCATATTTATCATATTTGGGGATATTGTATGATATTGTATGATCATATTAATTCATATGTTAATATATTATGTTTGATGTACTAACTAATTCTAGATATCTATCACTGTCTATGTATCAATATATATATATATAATATGCATGTCATATATATGTTGATGAGGGTCACAAAGAAGGAACAAATCAAACACACATGTACCATTAAAACATGTATGAAAGAGATGAAACGTAAGGGATTCAAGCAGGAAACAGGCCGAGAAAAACTGGATGAAATTGTCTGCGATTGGAATTTTCATCTTGCAACCCAGGGCAAGGTGGGGATTTCTTGACACAGTGGCCCCTGCTTGGATGGCAGGGTCTCCTCCCCGCCCTTTGCCCATCCTGGGTCGAAGGCCTTGCGTCCCTTGCAGATGGCCTTGGAAGAAGAGGAAGCGAGGGCTCTGCGCGCCTGCAATGCGGCTGAGGAGGCAAGACGTGCGCGACATCTCGGAAGTTCAAAAGGATAGTTGATGGATGTGATGAATGGGTATTACTATGGCAATAACACTCATAAGTTAAGATATAACTTGATATATAACTATATAACCCCTAAGTTGATCATCATTTTACCATCATTTTACCATCATTTTACCCATGAAATTCACCATAAAATGATCACCCAGAGAGGATACACCCTGACCTCCGCTTCGAGGCCGAGCGGATCTTCCACCAGGAAAGCCTCGCGTCGTTCTCCGCGGCAGAGGCCGCGGAACGGCAGCTGCGCACGCGCTGCGTGGGGTGGCAAGAGGAGGTGGCCAGCCGGGGGGGATGGGACGGTTGGGGTTGGGCTTGGGGAGGATTTTTGAGGTTATTTTGAGGAGTTGAATAGTTGAAGTTGAACTTGTTCTTTTTCGTGGATTTTGATGAGGTGGCTATAGCTAACTATAGTTGCTGGTTTGGATGATTTTGGATGGTTGGTTTGGGTTGGCGGGGTGGTTGGGTGGTGTTGAACTGGCATCCATTGAATCTACTGACTCGCTTATTCCTCAGCAACTGACATGACGACGCTGCCATGAGTTGGGGGCTGGAAGCTTAGTTTCCATCACAGATGAGCTACCCTCTGGTAAACTAACATAGCTATGGAAAATCACCATTTTTAATGGGAAAATCCACTATCAATGGTCATTTTCAATAGCTACGTTAAATTACCAGAGGGTATTTTCAGGGTCAAATCGTTCATTTTTCTGAGGAAAAACTCCATCTTTTTGCTGATTTCGCCAAGCCTTTTCGCCAGGTGCTGGAAGCCAAGACAGCGGCCCAGCAAAAAACGGGACACGAGGAAGAGCGATGCAGAGGAGAGCAGGAGGCTGTGCGAGGCCCCAGGAACAAAAAAACCCATGATTTCTAGGGGGGTTTTAACATTAAAACCATGGTCAATGGATTGGTTTAAGGGAAAAATTACAGGAAAGCCCCATATTTCATGGGAAAATCTATGGTTTCCGGTGTAGATTTTCCCTTAAACCAATCCATTGACATGGTGATTTGATTGATACTTCTGAATGTAAGTGATGCTTTACTTGACATATAACCTGATTAACCTGCTCCTTACAATATATATATATATACACATTTATTATAGGGGATTGTCATGATCCATGAACTGGGAATCCCCATAGAAGCACCAGGTGTGTTGGACTCCAATGCTATGGAGAAAGTTTGGAGGGAGCAGGTGAGTTTCCAAACTCAGATGCTCTGCGAAAATTAGGGGAATGGTAAATGACGCTTAACTAGCCATAACTACCATCTGGTTATTTAACATAGCCATGGAAAATGGCTCATTTATAGATGGTTTACCTATTAAAAATGGGGATTTTCCATGGCAAACTGTTAAATAACCAGATGGTAACTCCTCATTAAATCCCATGAGGTGTCCAAATCCACGTTAGATCCCCATAAAACCCCCAGTAAATCCGTTACCTCCTAGGCGCGCTGCGCGGCCGAGCGTCGTAGCCGCGCGTGCTGGGAAGAGATTGCGGCGGAGAATTTGGAGGCGGTGATTTTTCGAGGATTTCATGGGGATCGAAGCATCTTGAAGCCACAAAAATGGGGGATTTCACATGATTTAAGCATGATTTAAGCACCAAAGATGGGGATGAAAAAATCAGAATTGAAGCAACTTAAACAACTGGGCATTTTTTGCAACTTTTCAGTGGGGCCATCTGTCGGCAAAGCCGAAAAAAATCCCCAAGTCGTGGGATTTGCCGAGCCCTTCGATGCTCGGCTTATCTCGGCTTCCTAGGCAGCGCAAATGATGGAGGCCATCCATGGACAAGAGGAATTTCTCAGCAACCAAGCCCAGGCCCATGGATCCCATGGTTTGCTGGTGAAAAACTCATGAAAACTCTTCAGGTCCAAGGCATGTGAACCCACATGGCAGATGGGACGTGGATTCAAGATCATTGAACTTTCCACAACAAGATACATTGTAGTCTATGATGTATATCTTTGTATATATATATATATGTATACATATATATATATAATTCTGGTCTATGAGCCCAGGCTTGGCCAGGCGCCTATTTTCATCTATTTTCACCATAACACCATGTCTTTAGATTTCTTTAGATCATCCATCCCCCGGAGAGCCAGGACTTGATGGACCTTGCTGCCCGGAGCGAGGTGGCCGCACGGAGATTGCGAGAGGATGAGCTCATGGAGGCCGGAAACTGCTGGAAAGCCATGGAGCCTGGAAAAAAAGCACGAGAAAATCCAGCGGATTTTGGGCGGACTTTTGCCTTTTCTTGGATGATTCTTGGCAATGTTTGGATGTTTTTTTCTGGTGATTTTGAGGGAACACAGAATCTTGGGGAGACGGAAACTGACAGATCTGGTTTGGGGGAATGGAATTTTGAGATTTCATGGAATTGCAAGAGGAACCAATAGAATTGGGAATAGAAGCAGCAAGGAAGTATGGTGGGTAATTAGCAAACAGCAAGCAGTGTGGGTGTACAAGTAACCAGGCAGTAAATTCTGACCTGGGGCCTGTGGTTGCGCGGTGTTGCACAGGAGAGTGCGGCTCAGGGTGTCCGAGAAGCTGTGTTGGAGGTTGGATTAGCTTGGAATTCCTGGAATGGGTTGGGGTAGGGAAATTATATAATATTATATAATATATATATGTACATATATATATATATATAAATATGATTACATCAGCTGATTGGGGTGGTTGTTCGATTTTTTGGTTTCCACCAACGTTTCGAGATTTCGAGATTTCACGCGCGCCATGGCTGTCCCATCATCCCATCACGTCACCAGGTGGAAGCCGCAATGCATCAGCTGCTGCGGGAGTGTCGCCTTCAAGAAACCAACCTCCTGGCTGAGAATCGCTGGAAGGAGGCTCAGTTTTTCAGCTTTCGGAACAGCGGGGAAGACTTGGAGGTTTAAATATCAAACAATGAGGATTTACTATGAGGATTTACTATGATTTACTGATATTGAAATATATTGAAATATATTGTAGATAGGTGGATTTTTAGCAACTCAAAAAACAGACGGGGGCACAGTTATAAGGGCACCATGAACAGAGGTAATCCCCTGGAAGTTTCTCCTTCGATCAGTGGATCTCCATGAAAAATCCCATGGAAAAATCCCACGCTTGGGACCTTGGGATTCCCCGTTCTTGGATTGAAAAAAACCCAATTAATTAATATTTGAAGGCTAGAAAATAATCCCTGGATTGATCAAGCAACCAGGGTTTTTTTGAACTGAGTCAAGACCACATGTGATGCTTTTGCAGTGAACATCTATTTGCTGTCGAGATGACATCATGGGGGTTTGTCAGCAGGGGTAAACTGCACATTCCTGTGATTAATCATCATGTTCCCTCTCAACCCGGCCATATCTTGGGGTCTGAACAGGTCTAAACACACCATGTTCAGACTCACCCAACTTGGAAATTGTCGATATGGCTATGGATCAAACCCTTCAACTGCCATTTTCTCAAATGGAGCATCCAACAAAACCCTATCAGGTGGAGATTCAAGAGGCCGAGGCACTGGCACATCGGGTGATTGTAAGGAATCCCATTCATGCTGGTGGGATGACATGGGATGACCATATATTCCCCATTGATCCCATGTGATTTGACCATGGCACCCTTTGGGTGCCAAGAACAAGGACCCTAGTCACATCCCCACTTTTTTGTGGTTCTGTTTGTCTCGATTGGATTGGTTGAAGGGAAAATCCGCCGGATCCCAGATGGAAAAAACAACACTTGGTTTCCTGAGTTTATTGCAAAACTGCCCTGAAATCATCTGATTCCACTTAGAAGTCCCTCCGCGCAGGCGGCCCAGTTGCTTCTTGCAGAGAGTCGCCGGGAAGATGCTGAAGTCCGGGCGGTGCGCCCGGACAGATCAGTCCAGGGCGAACGTTCACACCCAAGAATCACCACGAAGGGTTGTTAACCTACCAGTTGTGGGTACATCTCCATTTTTCCTTCTCGAACCTCAGACCCGGGGACCCGCACATTTTTTTCATTTTTGTTGAAACCATCCAATTTGATCTCCCAATAATTCCAAGTAAGAAATACATTGAAATATGCTAAATCATCCTGGAATCGACATAGATAGATTATCCTGGTCTGTCTGAAAAATCTTGTCGACCTAAATTCATTGATTTATCATCACTTTCCCTAGTAAGAATGCAACTTTTTGGGTACCTCCAAGTTTCAGACACACTCATCTCCGTTATTGGGTTATTGGTTAAAACATCTTAACCACCTATTTTTATTTTAAAATTCGCAATTTGGCTAGTGATTTTCCATAAAGTACATTCTTCCATCTATTTTCAGATGATTTCCCTGTTGCAAATCGCCATCTCCCCATTTTGGAACAGGAGAGAGCCTCTCAGCGTTGCAACGCAGCGGTTGAGCCAGGGCCGCCAAGATTGCCTCCGATGCTGGGTGGTGATGATACTTAGAAGGGGGTCCATAGGTTTCAGTTGGTTTATAACAGTATAGTATAGGCATATATGGCCACAAAGTATGTGGTACACCCAAGAATAAACTATCCCCAGTTTTATTTTACCAGGAATGGGGGGTTATTTTCGGGTTTACCCATTTCTGCAACTACTGGTAGTGTTTTATGGTAGATGTATCATGTAAATGTGCCTCTTCTGGGTGGAATTGCCTGTGTAATGGCATTGATATGGGTCAAAGTCGAGCAGAAGAAATAGGAGGGCAGTGTCAGACGTGGCCGAAATCCGCATCACAACCTTTAAAACTACCTCATACAATTGGGAGAAGGTATCAACAACTGCAAAAAAACAACATCGTTTGGTGAATTCATTTCAAGAAATCAATAAACAACAGCACTTCACCACAAGCCAAGACCAAACAGCGTCAAACGATGAGGTCAACGACCGCGACGAAGCGTGACTACCAGCTGGAGATTGATGAGATGCAAAAGGAAGGCGAAAAGAAGGACAGTCTGGGCAGACTCGGCTTGGCTTTTGACTCAACATGAGCAGCTGCACACCACACCCCTGTTATCTCCTGTTGATGGTGATTTCATGGTGATTTAACCATCATTCAAAGAAGTTTTAAGTATCAAAAGAAAGATGGGGATATAGTATGAGATAGTATGATGTAGTGATATAGTTCAGAAATGATGGTTGATGGATGATTATGGGGTTGTATAACTATCCAATACTTATTCGGGATGATCACAATCTATGAACTGGCAAATCCTGCTAGCCAGGATCAGCAACACGACACAGGGCTTCGACCCACAGGGGAAGCCATTGGCATCACTTTGCTAAGTACGAAAAATCATGTCCCTGTTAGTTCGCGAATCTCAAGCACATTCAAGCACGTTTGTATGTGTGAAGAGCAAGCTGTGATGCCGGAAAAAAATCCCAGCATATTTCGGGGGATGAAACATGCACATCCATCATAGCGCCTCAGTTAATTTGATGTCATTTTTTTCAAGGCTTTCCACTGCAGAATCTCATAGAATCTCGATGAGTTGTCACCATTCTTTGTCCGTTGTTCTGGATGGATGCCCATGGCAGGAATTCAATTTCCATATTATGTATACATAATTATAGTTATTGTTGGTTGGTTAATAGAGATAATATAGAGATAATATATATATATAGAGATAAAAGGACAATTTCTATCTCAAGAGAATTCCCCACGCCGAAAAATGACTATACTGACCAGTACTGACCACTATGTATAGTTATATATTACGTTTGATATTCCTACTGTATCATAGTTAATTAGAAAGATCCCCTTGTTGTTGGTTGAATCTTGCCCCCAGCTTGATCACTCCAATTGGGGCATTGTTCAAATTAAATGGGAAGCAACACATCCCAAAGGAATTGGTTTCCCCATTTCGATTATTTTGGATGAGTTTTGGGTGCATCCATTTTAAGAAATCCTGAGATGGAACCCATAGTACAAAGACTCCAATATTTGTCTGTCTGAAAGTTGGGGTATTCCAGAATCAAGAAATACTTTTTCCAAGCTGTTCATATCTTCAGACACATCCACATCCATTAATTTCTTGGTAAACATCATGTTTTTTGATGCTTAATCAATTATATAATCTCCATTAAAATATTCGTATTTTTCATGGTTAATCCCAATTATTTTCAATCAGTTCATCCCTATAGACGTATACACATTTTCCCAAGATCAATTTCCCTCCATTTTTCTGAAGGATATTTCCCATATTTTCCCCAATATTTAATTTCCCAATATTAATTTTCCAATATTTCCTATACGGGGTTTCCTAAAATAGGGGTAGCCCTAAATCATTTCATCGGATTTTCCATTATAAACCATCAATTTTGGAGTAGCTCCATTTATGGAAACCTCCAACTCGTTCTTAGTACTTCTCTTACTGGTGCTTAGCAGGGAATTAGGGAATGATATAATCACTAGTAATAATCATCCCATTCACCCATTGTAAGTTCTTCCTTGCGGAAAAGTTCCAGGAAGCCTCGGCGTTGCAGAAGCTGCTTGGAGCCGAAAAGTCCCTGGCCACGGCCCTCTATTGGCTTGGGAGCCTATGATGGAGAGGAGATGACCATGTTGCGGCGTTGCCATGGTAAAGCCAATCATATACATGTGCATACATTACGAATATATATATATATAAGTATATATATAAGTATATATATATAAGTGTATATATATATAATATATAAACATAAAAGTACATACATATATATATATACAATAATAATGATAATGATAATAGTAATGATAACAATAATAATAGTAATAATAATAACAATAATAATAATGATAATAATATATATATATATGCATATGATATGTATGTATATTTACACACGTGTCTATACATACATATATATACATACATAATACATTATATGTAGTGACAGTAAATCATACATCATTTTTGGCGATTTGGAGGTTTCATCAGCTACGCAACTAATTGTGAGCTTGAAACAAAAACAATTGAAGCCAATTTGTGAATCGCCCCAATCTCAACTTGGGGATCTTAAAAGCCTTTGAAGGTTACCATGGAACATCTGTTGATAGATATATAGATAGGGGATCATCAATGATAAAAAGACATGCCATCATTTTGTGACGACTGAGCCCACAACCGGTTCGAAACTCACTTGGCGATGAGGTGTGGCAAGCAATCTCAGATTGGCCTCAAGATGTTTACGGTCCACGCGCCATGTTTCAGCCAGACCTTGGTTCATGGGAAAATCCATCCAGAAATGGAAGGGATTTTCCATTGGTAAGGGCGAAGTGACATAGACTGTAGGCTCAAGCCACAAAAAAATGATTTAAATGTCTAATCGCGATCTGGTTTGAGGTGCCGGTCTATAGATTTATATACTATACTGAACATGTATGTATATATACCCTGTGGTTATTTAACATAGCCATGGTATAGATGGCCCATAGAAATAGATGGTTTACCTGGGTTTCCCTATTAAAAATGGTGATTTTCCATGGCTATGTTGAATAACCAGATGGTAAGTATATATGGGCATATGGGGGTTGCCTAAGTCATGGGGGTACAACCAAATCTTCCAGGCCGAAGAGATGTCTTCGCGCGTGCAGGCTGGGCCGTTGGCCGTTGTTTTCTTTTTGGGCGCGTGGGAAGATTGAAAAAAGGATGATTTAATGGGATTTCATAGGGATAGAATCACCAAACATTATATCATTGGATTGATTAAGGACGAAAACAAAGAGGAAAACCTCCGCATGTCATGGGGAAACCCGTGGTTTGCTGTAGATTTTCCCATCAATCCATTGATTGCAACGATCTTTGAAACGAATCCCCTGGTGATTTGAAGGTGCTCTAAGTGATCCACTTTCCGGTGCTCTAAGTGATCCGTTAACCTGATTTGAAGGGGTCCAGGCTAGACAGGAAACCGGAGATGTAGGAAAGATAGAAAAAGGTATGGACATCCATGGGGAAAGCCGACCTACTTTCATGGTGGATGTTCCATGTTTTTTGTATGATTTTGTATGCTTACTGGAGGGTACCCTCTCGGAATTTGACATAGCGAACTGGAAAATCACAAAAAATTGATAGGTAAATCATCGAAGTAAATGGGCCATCTATACCATCACATACCATAGCTATGTTAGTTTACTGGAGGGCATTATCCCCATCAATCCTCGTGTAAAAAAAATCGCATAAATTCCCATGGCTTATCTTTTCTTATGGCTTACTGTAACCAATTGGGATATCCCCATTTATATATAGCCATTACATAGTATCCGAAGCATTATATCTATATAACTATACCCCATTGGTAGTCGTCATTTAGTATCCCAATCACATCCCATAAAGAAGTCATTGTATAGCCATGATATAGTCATTAGAAAGTCCATATACTGTATATATATTATATATATATGTATATGTATATATAGTCATGATATAGCCATTATATGGCCATGATATACTCATTTTCTCGTTTTTTTTTCGTAGGGAAACTGCACTTTTTTTTCCATTGCCCGTTGCGAGGTGGATGCCGTGGACAGGCGAAAAAATGCGACGAATTTTTGGGATAAATTGACCCTTTTCTATCTTCTTTGGGGGTTATGTATATATAATTATATCATAAATCATATACATAATCTTTGGGATAATTATGATTATGTATAATTATATACATATATATATACACATACATACTAGTGAATCATGATGTTTGCATATGTTTGCCATGTTTGGGGATGAACATCCATTACTACTAGCTAGTTTGGTGTAAATCACAGGATACTCTGTTACGAGACGCCGCTTTTTCTTATGTGGGGCCATTCTTATGTCAACAATTAAATCACGACTCATTTGTGGAATTTCGGGTTTGTAGCTGATTTTCAGACAAACCCAAGTTGACAAACAGTCATCAGTCTTCAAGGGCTCAAAGTTTCATCAAGCTACCAGATCCAGGACGTCCTAAGCGAGGTTAGGGTTCAGTTCCGGGTTGAACTACCCACATAGATGACCAGGTGCCATTGGCCACGCTTTTGGTTCCTTCGCAAGCTTTGGGCAACTCAAATCTAGTGTCAAGTTGTTGAATTGAAGATGTGGAAGAAGATTCTAAGATGCATCTATTATATATTAAATCATATTAAATCCCCATTGTTGATGCTCAGTCAGGTCATCTATTATATGTAGGGTTTGTGGCTGGTTGCATCCATTGGAAATCCAGCCGTCTGGCGAAAACCGGTGATCGCTGGAGGATTTCTGTCGATGGCGAGTGAAGCCCATGGCGCGTTTCCGGCTGGAAGAGATGGGTCACCCTCGCACTTGGAAAAGGAAATTCGATGATCTCCAGGCTCGATTTCAATTTCAGACAGGTTTTGACTGGCATGCACAAAGGTTTGTTTTTTTGCCAGAATGATTTAGATACCTCGAACATGTTACATCATGCACATCATGTTGCAGGATATGAATACACAGGTTTCCAATGGTTTCCACATGTTGCCAAGACCCATTCCATGAATTTCAACTGCTGGGGAGGGCCGTCGATGTGGGCAGAATTCGGGGCCATCCACGGCGTGCCGTGGATGGAAGCTGCGACACAGAGGTGTCACATACTGCAAGGCGATCTTGCGCCGTGCGCAATGGATGACATTTTTTTGTTTTAAAGGAGCATTCGAAACCAGGACTTTTACTTCCAAAGAACATATAAATATATACGCAATTTTATTTCAAACCAAAGCAATTCTGGGAATGACAGGGAAAATCAAACAATCAGCTTAAGGCACAGACAACATCGGACATGACTAAAGATGCCATCTGACCTGCTTGTTTGGATTTATACCATGTGTGTTTCATCGTTTCGTGGTATCGCAAGTCGTTTTTTCTCTCCGCATTGGGCACCTGACTCAGTGCAGATGCTCGAGTAGTAGCTGGAAAACATACAATTAATAACCACCTTTAAAGTTTTCCGTTTACCGCCGTTTGCACGGGTCTGTCCAAGAATGGACAATTCTCATGGGAAAAGGGTGAACACACATGATACCCTGTGGCAATCAAACATGGTTTGCTGGAATATCCAAAATTCCAAATCATTTTCCCCAATAAAGCCTCCATCTATGATTTTCCCATTGCTATGGGTTGATGACCGAAGGGAGAACCACGGTAAACCTGATGGAAAATTGTCATGGGAAAATGGCGAAAAACAATGAGAAACACGGATAAACCATGATCCACCATGCTAAATCATTGGATTTTAATATGTGTATTTTATCCCCTCAGTTTTGAGAGAAACACCAATGTTTGCGCAAACATATGGTCGCCTCGTCGTCTGTTTGGCGTGTATTGATATTGGTAAATGACTTACATGACATTGTTCAAGTAGCCACGTTCATAAGCGACTGAAAGATAGGGGCTTCTGGGGGTTCATGTGAATTTCCTGCTGGGAACTGCAACGAAACTCAAGAAATCAGTGGCACAGAGAAGGGATGCCAGCGTCGAGGAATACCATTAATTACCATTCATTACGCTCCCTTTCTTGGCAACACATTCTCAACAGATGCTCGACCAGTATCACATCAATGGAACATGGCTCTCATGCTTTTTGGGTTCACATTTTGTGGCACCTGGTCCAGCTGTCAACATCCAGGAAAGATATACTCATACTTGTAGATTACTCAATATTTCATGCTTGAGAAACATAACTTTGCCAATGGAATTTGTTCCTTTTGATATTCTGGGGCATCTCATTTTTTTGGACAAATCCATATTATGGTTTCTTCGTCCGGATCATGCTTGTTATGTATTGTTATGCAATATCACCGGATTAGTTTCATGCATCTTAATTCGTTAGTGTTTGTGACTAAAAACACAGGGCAGGATTGTTGGCTAGAGTTGGCTATCCACAACTCTGCATTTGCGCCGGGGCTGCAGCTGCACGACATGCTATAGTGAAGTCTCGCCAGGGATGTAGCAGTTTGAACAGCCGTGTAAAGCCCAAACTACTGCTTGTTGATGGTTGAGTATGTTTCATTAGGGTGGCAGCCTACGTATCACTTAGATAGGGACTACTGCAACTCATGCTGGGAGTCCCCCTAAGCCAGGCCCCATTTATTCATTTGTCATGGCACAGCTTTATTCAGAAGAAGTCAACGTTTGGCACCGCGCCGCGCCACAAATCACAGCCATGGACTCATCGGATGTTGGCGTCTCAGATGGCCACAGCAGGTGGCCCTTCAGCATTTTTTTGGGGAATGCTCTTTGACCTTAAATTACCATGCATGTCACATGATGCTGGATTTCATATACAGTATTGTATATGTATTGTCATGTATTGTCTGGTTTTCCATTTCAAGCATGGATAAGTAGTTTCCCCACCTGACCAGCATGATACTGGAATGGTCTTCAAGAGAAACGTAGCATTCCTTGGTATGCGGTATGCAGGCAGCAAGCAAGCTCATGCAGCCGCACTGAAAACTCTAGGCAGTTTTTTTTCTACTCATAACATTCCTAGGCCACCGTTGTTTTCTTCCTGACTTCAAGAGATTGCAAGGGTAGATGTCCCATCTCTACTCCATGCACACAGCTGAGGACGAGAAACCCGTTGGCTATTTGGATGGGCACTCCCCAGAGGCCTCGAGCAGATCTGCGTCTTATCCGACAGATTTTCACCAGAGAAAAATTGGGCATAGGTGGGGGATAACAACCATCCGAATCTGCGGACAGATGGGGGTAAAACCATTTTTTAAACCATAGACATCTTGGGAGATCCAATTCATGATCGAGAATGAACTCCCGGAGAAAAACCTCTGGAGTCCGAACATTTTGATGGGAAAAATATGGAAAAATGACCTGGTAGCCGGATCCTTGTTCCTGGCAGGCGATCAACATTGTCAGCACCCTGCTGATTCTTGGTCTGGGTCCTCCAGTCCTCGATATCTTTGAACATCTTTGAACATCAAAACCCTGATGGGATTGAACCCCGCGGCCAATCCACGGGTGTAGGAGCGAAGTCACAATGGTTCGATTGGCCAAGGCATGCTGCTTCTTCCACTCCTGGGAGGCCCGAAGGGTGGAAGATGCCTTGCACCCCAGAACCACAGTGAAGCCCCAGTCCAAATGACCTTCGATGACTTTGGGGATCCCCCAAGAAGATCTGAGAAGCTCCAGTTGGGAGGGGTTTGTCAGGTTGACTAGTGGCTAGGCCTAGTAACCAGCTATTTGGTTTGGAAGCAGCTGTCCAATGTTTGAAAGTTTGAATGTCGGTTTGCACTGATAGCGATGGATGTGCGAGTCATTAACAGGGACTGCAACCCGAAATAATGTAAAGCGAACCAGTGAAACATCACCAAGTTGTTATACATTGGTACATCTATATATGTATATATACATACAGCAACATACATATACAATTATATATATATATGGGTTTGTCTGAAAATGGGGTTTCATCAATCATTTGGGATACCCGCATTTCACACCATCATTTCATGTTCACAGGAGTCTTGGACCGAACCCTACTCAAGCGCTACTCTGTGGCGTCCTTGGGAGCGCATGACAACGGGTTGGGCACGTAAGAAAGTTGAACCATGCGGATTTCTGAAGGTTGAAAATGAATCATACCTCATGTTGAAAATTGGGTACAGTACCCCTAAAATCAATGGCTTTATCATGGTTTATGATGATTTATGATGATTTATCATGGTGTATCATCATTTTCCCAATCATCAAGGGCTAGGAGGTATAGCCGGTCCCCATTGTCAGACACACTCAATTTCTGATCAGATCAAGGCGAATAGCAGAGAGCCAGTTTGGGCTGAGAACTCAGAGAGGATGGGAAGACATGGGCTAAGAATAGGATATTTACCCTCTGGTAAACTAGCAGAACTATGGAAAATCACCATTTTCAATAGCTACAAGTTAGTTGACCAGAGGCTATGATATATATTTATCAAATTTTTATCCCCAAGCTATGGCCATCAACCAATGAAGATGATGATGAACCCAAGCCTCGGGTGTTTGAGTGGATGCGGAAGATGTTGTTTTTGGTGCAGTTTTTGGACATAGGATGAAGAGGGCTTGATTCTAGGTATGCGAGAACTCAGATAAGTCACTTAGGAGGATCTAGCTTTTTAGTAATGAGAAAACTCCAAGGGACTTTTGCAGAACCATACATCAGACTTCGGCCTTTGTGACATTTTGAAAGGTTTGGGTGCTGCTCCTGGTGAGCTATGCGTATCTCATTCCAGGCACGTCAATTTCTGTTCCAGGGACTAGCAGCACTAGCGCATGCTCACCACCATATTAACCTCTTGTCCTGACAAATACTGGTGGGAAGTGCAGGTTCTTTTCTTCTGGGGATCCCTCTATCATTCATACAGTACAAAACTTGAAAGGATAGGCCTCCAGGCCTGAAACCAAGGCTTCTACACTAAAATGATCTCAAATTGATCATTTAGTGGTTGACCGGATCCCGCCTTAAGAAAAAAAGGTGAAACAATCCCTTGTCGGAACACCAGTCTTAGACTGTTTTGGATCATTTTGGATGGCTCAACAGATTGGACCATCATTCTCATGCCTTGCATCCTGTCTGTCTGGCTGGCGTCTTTTCTAATAATTTTCCCTTGTTTTTTTGGTTCCAGTGGCATGTCAATCATTTTCATAGTCTACAGAGTCTACAGGTAGATTCCCAAGTTTTTGACGACCAAGTCCTGTTTCTTTTTCTTTTGCAGGACTTGTGGAGGTGTTGTTTAGCTTCAACATTGTCTTTGACATGGGCAGCAGCGCAGCTGGGATCCTTTTAGAACGTTGGGTGTTGCAAGGTATGAGATGATGGGATGAGGTGGGTCAGAAAAATATGGATTTCCCCCTAGAGATGATGTTCGCCCGCAAAGTTGGAGCTGAGATTTCCCACGGAGTCCGACTCATGCAGACCATGGGTGATTTGACGTGTCAGAACACAAACACACTCCCACACGCACACATTGTATGAAGGGTAGTTCTCTACATCCAATTGTAACTTGGACCCACAGAGAGTATTTTTCAATATTTTTCATATATGCATGTACTGATGTACCTGCAAACATATTGGCATATTAATATATACATGTATGTATGTATATATATATATGTCATAATAATCATAATAATATATATATATATATATACATATGTATATAGATAGTGTGTAGACGTACATACATACCGGGTGCATAGAGCGGGTAGTGGGTGCACTGACAATACACAGTGGAAAGCAACACATGCCAAAGGTTGCTCTTTTAATCATGAGCATCATTTGAAAATCATATTTTTGAGTTCTAAAGGTACGTTTTCTGTCT